ATTTTTAATTTTTTTTTTTTTTTTTTTGCTTTCTTTTTTAAATTAATATCCTAAAAAAAATTGGAATGTTGGAGTATGAGAGATGATGAGTTAATTAGCCTAATAATGATAAAATAATGCCATCTTTCGACTAGAAAGTTTAGAGTAAATAATTGTTGCAATAGCTATTGATATTGACAATAATGAAAATGCTGATAGAATCCACATGCTTAACACTGGTATGCATACATTTTCTTCATTGTGATCCTTTATTAAATTTGATCTTGTTAATTGTTCGGGTAAATCTGTAAATTGAAATTTTTTTTTTCTTCTTTTTGCATTGATAATAATTAATGAATAATTAAAATAATGATAATTATGATAAATAAGATGAAAAAGTGCAACTGTCAAAGTGTCGCATAAATGACATTTCTCATTCTTTTCCCTCTTTTCCTTTTTTACCTTCTCTCAATTTTTTCTTTTTTTTTTTCTTCCTGTTAATTTCCTGAAATTTTTAACAAAAGACCAAATATGACAGAAAGGAATAATTATTGAAATTCTTCAATGAACAACAACAAAAGGTTAACAAAAGCAAACACACACACACACAGTTGTATTCGAATTTTGTTATTTTTGAAAATCGCTAAATGATATTTCGGAAGAATTAATACTTACCAAAACCTTCTTCGAGAATTTTTAGCTGTTGTGTGGCAACATCCAAGTCAACAATATTATAATTATTTTCAGAAATTGTTCGCCGCCCTCTCGTCGAATTTATTTCTTTGATAATTTCAATCCCAGAAGTTGTCATTGCAGCTGTTGTTGTTGTTGATGATGATGATGACGCTGTTGTTGGCATTGTTGTTGCTGTTGTTGTTGTTGTTGTTGTTGTCGTTATTGTTATCATTGTTGTCTCTAAGATTTTAGTTGAACTTCCAACGTTAGTGAGAACAATATCAGGAATAGCTATGCTTCGTTCATTTGTTACATTTAACAAATTTTCATTTTCACCCGAACCTGTAAACAACAAACTTGTAAACAACAAATCTATTTCACAAATAATCTAAAAAATATTTAAACTTTGTACAAATCCATAAATCAAACACAAAGCAAACTACTTCGCAAATATGTAATTCTAATTTTTATCATATATGAATTCACACCTGTATCATTCGACACTCAACTGCTAATTAAATTAATCAATCAAGTAAAGATACGAAAAAAAAAAAATGCATTTCTGTGTTTGTTTATTTCTTTAGCTAAGAAAAGTGGGCTCGCAAAAAAAAAAAAAAAAAAAAAAAAACTTAACCAAATAGTAAAAATAAATAACACAAAGAAACAATTAACCTTCTATATCGTAACTAAACTCTTTGTTACTCTCATTTTGTTGTATGCGAAATTTCGAAAATTTGTTTTGCTTCGGAATTTCATCCAAAAAAATTTCTGATGATTTTGCATCAGATAATTTCACTGTAGCAGTGATACGATCAGTGAATAGTGAAGTGGTGGATAAAGTTTGGAACTCAGATGAATTCTTGGATGACGGAGAAATTGTCACATCTGGCAGAGTGCCCTGGACAATTCGAACAGTATTCGATGTGGCCAATGGACCAGTGGTTGTGTACAGAAGTTGGTCACTTTGTAATTCATCTTCGATATGATTTGCTTCATTTTTCGAATTTGTTGGAATGAAAATTTGATCATCGCAACGTGGTGGCTGTAAAAGTTTATTTCCATTTGTCGAACTGACAATAAAATAGTAAATAATTAATTAATGATAAAATAGAATGATAAGAAATAAACAGTAAACAATAAACAATAAATAAAAGTTAATAGCAATACATTTAAGCTTTGTAAAAAATACTTCGTTTGCAGGAATCATTAAATGAACAAATCATCAAATAAATACAGATTTAGCATAAAAATGTTCTGAATTTTTTGAATTTTTCCATGGAGAAAGAGAGAGAGAGAGAGAGTAGAAAAAAGATATTTTAAATTACCGTCACATTGGTACAGTAATCTCCTTTCTTGAAACATAATTTCACTTGACAACTGAAATAAATCGATTCTCGATCCGGAAGATTTACAACACTAGCTCCCTGAAATATGGTAAAAGTTATTCGAAATCTTAAAAAAATAGCAGTTATTAAATGAAGGAAAAATTGTCAACTAAAATGTTGATCGATCTGAGATTACAATCGAAATAAAAATAGAAAATGAATATGCAAAACATTTAGTATTTCATTAATTAATTAATTAATTAATTGAAACAAGAAAATGAATACAAAAATATAGATATTCTACTAACCGCAAAACTACGAGTAAGTTCATTAGAATATGTCAATTGTGGAATGATAAAATCATCTGTTGAACATCTGCAAAAACTTATATTTACTTAAAATTCATTAATCAACTTAAAAAAAAAAAAAAAAGAAAATCATTTTGTTCTTAAAGAATTATGCTTATTAATTGGAACTTAAAATTTAATTCCAATTTGAATATCAAATGTTAATGTATTTTTATGGTTTCAATTAACATTCAATATCTTTAATAATACTTATAAAAATTTTAATAAATTCAATTAAAGCAATTAAAATTTAAATATTAAAAAATTTCTACCCATTTTCATTGATAACTTGATGCTCCCCGCCTTTTCCATCCAAAATATAACAACTATGAATGAGCATTGCATAAACATCCGATGGACAGTCCCAAACATGAAATACGATGTCACCTACTCGACCATATCGTAATACCGGTCCATTCGGGGAATCTCGATGTAACGTATAAGAACACTGAGGCATTGCATGTCCTGATTCAAGCATTGATGTGGTTAAATCGCTGAAGAAAAAAAAAAAAAAAGATAAATTATTAATTTCATCAAAAATTTTGATTTATAAATTTTTATTTTGAATTTTTGTTTGCGAAAAAGAAAAGAAAAAAAAAAAAGTTTTTCATATCTACTATAATTACAAATCATTTCTTTCCTTTTCTTTTCTAACAAATTTCAACTTTCTAATTTTTATTTGAAAATTAAACTGAAAGTATTAAATTGAAAAAAAAAAAAAAAAAGGTTATTGTGGGAAAAATTAGAAGAAGAATAAAAAGTATAAATTGTGAGAATATTTATATGATTTCTTTACATGAAAGATAATTGAATCATTTTTACTTTTAAAAAGAAATGGAAAAAAAAAAAAAAAAAAAAAGGAAAGAAAAGGAAAATGGAAAATTTGTCAATGACAAGAAATAATTTAATGTCATTTATGGTAATTTTTCTTGTAAATAAAATGCATTTCTTTTTTTTTTAACTAATAAAAAATAAATAAAAAAAAATAAAGAAAGAATTGTAGTGACAAAAAACAAAATAATATGTTTAACTGTCTCATATCTTTTGACTTTTTCCTATTAAAATAAATAATTAAGTTGTTTCTCTTTTTTTTTTTTTTTTCTAACTGAAAATGCCAACAAATAAAGATTATTAATGCAATTTGATTAGAGATCATAAACTAGAATTATTCATTCAAGAAATTCAAATAATTACTTTTTTTTGATATTGAAAACATTTTGCACAATGGTTTTTCAAGGTTTCGTTAATTTTTGAAATTCATAAATTTTACTCCAAAAAAAAAAAAAAAAAAAAAAATATAAAATTTATTCCTTATTTTCGAGACTATTATTTTCTTAATCTTCTGTCAATTTTATGTAACAATTTCTTTTCTTTTTTATTTTTTGCCACATTTACTATGTCAACTTCCCTTGGTCCTACTGTTTCCTTTTCAGGACAATGTTTATTTTGGAACAATTTGAAAAAAAAAAACATCTTTTATATTTTGACCTCTCTCAATCTAATATTTACGAATTATTGTCCTCATTTTTTCATACCCAAATAAATAAGTTTAAATGAAGGATTATTTTGAAAAAATTTAATTGCAATAAAAAAATTATTCAAACTTATTATTGTGTTGTATGAATATAAGTTTTTTGTCTATTTCGTTGTTTCTTTTTTTTTTAATTTCAAATAAAATAAAATGATTAGATTTTGTTAAATTTTTAATTAAATTTTGAATTTTTTTTTTTTAATTAGAAAAGTATAATACATACCTAACTTTTAATTCAGCATCAACCTCCTTATTCTCTTCCATATAGAAACATCGAACATTGTAAGCTCGATCCACTTTTGTAATAAATAACTGCAAAGTTTCATTTTATCATAAGCAGAAGGAATTTATTATTATTACTTTATTCGAATCTTAGACTTAGATTCAGATTTAAAGTTTATTTCTGATTTTTTGCAAATCTATTTGAAATTTACCGGATGAAGTTGTACAATAACTGTAAATGAATAAGCCATTCCACGTGGATTCACCTGCAAATTAAAATAACTTCTTGAATGATATTTTCCATTGCTGTTAATAAATCTCAAATTGAGAATGTAATTGTTAAAGAAATTTTAATGATTATGCTTACGTACTTCACGTTTCCTATTCACGTCACACTGCTCAAAATGGAATGTTGCATGATCGGTTTGCTTGAAGTGACAACCATCTTTGTGAAAATGACCTTTGGCAAAGATATACGATGGTTTTTTGGATGTTGTTCGCACTCGTACTGCTATAGTACCTTGTCCACATTCTACTTCTGGTTGATCTAAAATTAATTTCAAAAATTTCTCACTTTTTTTAATAGGTTTTTATGAAAACTTAAAAAAAGTTATTTCTCAATGTTTATTTAATCAATTTATTTTTTATTAAAACTTAAACCTCAATTACTAGCCAAAATCTTCTTGTGTAGCAATTCGTAAAAATTTCAAGTTTTATGAAAGAAAAATTACTTCAATAATTCAATAGTTGAATAAATTGTTGGAAAATTGCCATAAAATTTTATTTTTTAAATCTTTCAGAGCTTTTTTTTTCTTTTCTGTTCATTAATTTTTTTTGTAAAATATCAAATCTTTTCAAATATTAATCAAACATTATTGAGAAATAATTTGATGGGACAAAATTTGGTGACAATCTTACGCGGCCCCATTGGCGCAGTCGGTTAGCGCGTCGTACTTATAAGTGAACGAAGAGATGCGAAGGTCAGCAGTTCGAGCCTGCTATGGGGCATGAACATCTTTTGCAAAAACTATTGCCACATTCATATGAGAATTACTTAACTAATTCGTTTTAAAAAATTTAAAGAATGTGTAATTTTTTCATTTTAAGTTCATTTTTAACTTTTTTAAAAACCAAGCAATTAAAGGTAATCACAAGGTCAATGGATAAAATTTTAGTGGTTTTTATAGAAATGATTAAAATAATTATTGCAATATATCACATCAATGAATGAAATATATTTAGGTTCATAATTTAGATCGATTAAAAATTTAAAGTAAGTCAAATTTTTTAATAAAAAACATTGAAATTTCAGTGTTAAACAAATACTGAAATTTTAGTTATGCCAAAATAATAATATTTGTTATGTACTATTCCCAATATATATTTTATATTTTGCATATATGCTATAGCAAACAATTAAAAAATTTATGTAAATTGCAAAAGGAGCAAAATGATTTTCAATTTTCAATTTATTTATTTATTTATTTTTTCTCATTGCTTTAATATCATGCGCCTTTGTTGCTGAATGCATGTGAAGGTCAGAATTGTTCTTTTTTCACAAATTTGTACCTTAGAGCTATAATTTTTGTATTTGAATTTATAGCATTTTTTGACAATTCAGTCTAATTATTTGTAAATTTTGTTAAAGATTTCAGAATTTGAATTTTAAAAGTACACAAATATCAAAGAAATAATAGGTTTTTTCGGTTTTTTAATTTTTTTTTTTTTTTTTTTTATTCATAGCTGCAAGTGAATTTTTGTTTGGTAACAATACTTTTGAAGTGAAATTCAGTAAAAGTCATCCAAACGATCATCCCATTTAAATTTGTCATTTAAAATAGTAAAACACAGATGGAACGATCGAACACTGAGGAATGAATACTTAATGAGCTGTGAAGTTAACAACCTTGAATTGCGTTATTGAACACCGAAGCTGTTGCTCGTACGCTCGTAACAATAAGTGATACGATTACCGATACAAATAGAGCCGTTAACATTTCTAAAAATTGAAATTTTTCTTTTTTTCTTTTAACAACGACAATTTTTTTTTTGAAACAGAAAACAAAATAATTTGATGATTTGTTCAATGAACGATTAAATTATCATACAAATATCTAAGTTTTTTATTTAATTAGAATTTAAATTACATTTAAATTGGGGCATTAAAATCCAAGATAAAAATTGAGAAATCAATTAATCAATGATAATGAAATGAAACTGATACATGGATCTACAGCTGTATATTATTATTTACAGTATCTACCTTGTTTATCTTTATTACGGTACAGAAATGAGAATACGGTAAGTACGGTATAAAAATATTCCGGTAGTGATCTTTGATATTAGTAATTTTTTTTACTGAATGTGTTATTTCATTTATTTTCATAGTAATTTTAAATGCTTGAAATGTCTTTTTTTGTCCTAAATATTTCCTAGAATTTGGTCTGTAATTAAATTTACTAAAGCTCAGAAATCTGCAAAAAATACCTTAGCAGACAATAATAGCATTTATAGAGTAATGATAATAATGATAATGATTATAAATGAAGGTGACAAATTGAAATCGTTGTAAAAACATAAAGAAATACATAAAAACACTAAACTGCAAGAAATTTCAATGACCCATTTTGAAATAATTAATTTGGAAATAATATTATTCACTGACAAGTGCAGTTTTTGAAATTGAAAGTTAAGAAAGTTAGAAGGAAGTATTTAGATATTTCATCCTTTTGTTTATAATCAATTTTATCTGTTCTTAATTAATACTTAAATCACTGATTAAAGCTTCATTACTTACTTATATTTCCTATTTTCATTATTTTCATTATAATTGTTGTTTTAGAATTACTTTACAAATTTTTAAAAACGATCAATAAGAATGGAAATAATAAGATTCTGAAGCAATAACAAAAAATCTTGTTTCTTCTTATTTTTTTTAATCAAAGCATTTCACAAAAAATTTATTAATGTAAGGCTGCTAATTTATTAAATGCTAATATTTTTCATTGAGTACGATGTCAATCTGATATCATCAATGTAGTACGTGTTTTTCTTTGACGTGATTCACGTTCACCACGCTTGATTCTAGATATACTAATCAATGATTGTTCTTATTAGTGTACTGCTGATATAAGTTTGATAAATATATGAAAGATCAAACAATATCATTTTTCTTTTCATTTCAAGTCGAAGCAAATATGAAAATTAAGGAAGAGCAATATGAATATATAATTAAAAATAAGAGTATGATTGATAATTAAGATGGAAAATAATTAAAATTTGAAATTAAAATCAATCAATCCTTGCTGTAAGCTAAATGTAAAAATGAAAGTTTAAATAACTAATAGAAAGTTGCATCAAAATAAAATAAAATTTAAAAAAAAAAAATTAAAAAAAGTGAAGTGATTGAAAGATGTTATCATAACGAAAATTATAATGAAAAAATGGACAATTTTATTTGTAATAATTTTATTAGAGTATAAGAAGTGAAGTTTTATCATCAGCAAATGCGAGAATAACTTTAAGTCAAAATAGCATGAAAATTTATAAAGTTTTCCGAGTCAAAATTAGTTTTAATTTGGGCTGATTTTTGAAAAGACCCACCTTTTTTTTCGTTATCTACCTTTACTTCCCTCTCTCTCTCTCTCTCTCTCCCTCTCTCTCTCACTCCTCCTTTTTCTTTGAAAAAATTGGAAACAGATTTGCAACCTTGTACTCAACCTTGTACTACTTTACATTATTTTATGTGTGGAAGAAAAAGGACAATATTGAAAAGAGGAATGAAATAAGAAAAATTGAAACGGAAGAAATTAATTGAAGGAAATGATAATTAGCTAATTTGTGAAATCATAAAAATTAAAACACATTTGAAAATTTATTTAAACTATTCTATTACTACTAAAAATTATTATTTGCACTATACAGTTTCAAGGAAATAATCTATAAAATTTGACTTAGAAGGAAAACATCATAAACCTTGCATATTCCACAGGATCAGTAATTCGGTGTTCATTTTAAAATATATTGGTAATTCGAACTTGATTTTAAAATATATTAGTAATTCGGAGTTGAATTTAAAATATATTAGTAAATCGGAGTTCATTCTAAAATATATTACTTATCAATTGTTTGTTTCTGTTTTGTAATCAAAATTAATATCCTAACTGAAACAAAAAGTTTGGAAAACTTTCGATCATAATAGAATACTTTATTGTAGCTAATAATAGATGCATTACACAAAATGTTCATTCAAGATTAAATCAATAAATCGGAGAGAAAAAAAAAAACGAACTTTTTAAATACTAAATTTCTAAATTTTTAAAACAGCGTTTTAAAAATTTCAAGTTCGAATCACTTAAATTTCAAGACTTAATATTGTTAAATCAAAAATTGATGTATTTTTTAGAAAGGCAAAATTCAATCTAAAATTCAATCAAACTAAAGCGATTATTAAAAATGCAAATTTGCACAATAGGAATAATATATGACATTTTTCAAAATAATGTCAAATGAAAAGAAAAGAAACGATATGATGCAGAGGAAAGTGATCTGTTTCCATTTATAGAAATGATTAATTATAAGATCTACTTCCGGAGTACACACCACATCTATTCATTTCATTTTTCTGATTTCGTCGTTTTTTCGCTTCGTTTTTGCTTGGTTCAGAAATTTAGCTTCTAATTTAAATATTAATTTTAAATTGCAATAAAAAACATTTTAAAAAAAGTGGCAATTTAAATTTTAAAAACTTCAAAAATTCATTTAAATATTATCAAGAGAAGAACTGTAGAATGATCACAAATGTTATTTTCATCATTTCTAAAGTTTAATATTACCATATAATCATAAAACAAACAACATTCGAAAAATTAACCTTCGCATAGTGAATTCAAATGGAAAATATTCAACAAATGGACAGTAGCCACTAAAGGTTGAAGGTCAAGCGATAAATAATGTTTGTATGATGAGAAATATTTTATGAGTACTTTTGCATTGGTATTGTCTTCTTCTATTAGTTGAATATATTAAGGAGAAGGATAAGAATATTTTCTAATATCAATTTAATATTATTTCCTATGCAGTAAATAAATCACAAAAGGTTCAACTGACCTTTTCAGTTTCAGTAACAAATGCTAAAATTACTGAAAGAATGAAAGTTTGAAGAGAACAAATAAGAGAAAAAAGGAAAGAGTAGAAAGAAGAAGAAGGAGAACAGGTGAGGAGGAATATAAGTTCATTTTAGATGAGTAGTTCATGTGATGTTAAGGATGCTTTTGAAGAGAGAAATTTGTACATAGAAAAGACCGCACAATTAACCTTCACATAAATGATTCTTAATGAGGGACAATAAAATACGAATATGTCGTATAACAAAGAGTTTTGATATCAATAAACTGCCAAATAGTTACTATCAGCCGAAGTGTCAGTTGAAAATAAAATACTCTTAAAAGTGTTCAGATATGGATGCGATGCTGTTAATTTGAAATCTATTTGAAAAATTAAATGTTAGTTAAAACTAATACCGTATTATATCACAGACAATAAAAAATTATTATATCAGATTGATATTGTAATAAATTTATGACAAAAATATTGGTGTACAATCTTTCTTTCAAATTTTAATTTTTCTCCAAAGACAAATATTTCTAATTTAAATCCTCCAAAAGATAATGATTGGAATTAATTTCAATGCTATTTTTAGAATTTCAACAATAAATTCAATGGTTTTATTTAAATTTTGCAAAAGAATTGTTTTTTGGTAATAATATAATTTTCGTTTTAGCAAATATTATCTTATTATGATTGAAATATTCTGATATAATTTTTTCTTTCCTAATATGACAAGGTTTATTTAAGAGTGTGATTGATTCATTTTAAACTTTTCAGAAGTTATTAAAACAGATATTTTTTATAATTGATGAATTTCTATTTAATTACAATGCTTTGTTTTCCTTGAATTTAAATTTCTATCTTACTTTATTGTGATTCTTTCTATTTAAAATTCCAAAGTATCAAATTCTTGGTTTGTGTTTCAAAATTTAATTTGAAATAATTACAAGAAAAAAAGGAACAAACTCATTGATGTTAATTATTTGGCGCTATTTGCTGCTAATGATGATAAGATAAGAAGTTGGATAAACCTTTTAACTGTCAAATTTGCAAAAATCTAAATATTTGCTTCATATTATGAAAAATTCTTCTGCTCAAAAAATCTAAAAAATTGACTTGTTGGAATGTCACTAGAAAGAATGAAACTTCCTTTCAAAATCACTGATGCGCAAATGATCAGCAACCGATCATTGAAGACTTAACCTTCGTTGCAGTACTTTATTGAATATTATATTGAAAAGAACTTTCTTCTTTCATTATTCCTTCTTTAGTATGCATGACATTTATGAGAAGTGCTAATATTTTTGCGCCCATTAATCCAACAGTATAAATTTTTGAGATAATTTTTTGATCAAAAAGAATGCTCGTTTGTAGTGATAATTAATTAATTGTTAAGAAATGAATAAAATTATAGTTTGCTTAAATAAATTGAAATGCAAAATGATAGTGAAATTAAGTGATAAACTGCAAGGAGTAAAAAGATAATGAAATTTAAGTGATAAATTGTAAGGAACAATTTCATTTATTGTAAAAAAGAATAACAGAGAAAGTGTTGAACATTTTGTAAATGCTAAAAATAAAATGAAATATAAGAATATCTATAATGTTATAAACAATTAATAAAAATTAATAAAGTCATTTTATATTTTTCATTCTAAAATAAAAATTGATAAAATCATTTTATATATTTTTCATTCTAAAATAAAAATTGATAAAATCATTTTATATATTTTTCATTCTAAAATAAAAATTGATAAAATCATTTTATATATTTTTCATTCTAAAATAAAAATTGATAAAATCATTTTATATATTTTTCATTCTAAAATAATAGTTGATAAAATCATTTTATATATTTTTCATTCTAAAATAAGAAAGATACTTTCATTTTCTTTTCAATCAATCATAAAATTATAGTAAAATGTGAGAAGTTATAATTATTTACAAGGAGAAATTAACAATTGTAAAATAGAATGAATAATACAGATTTAGTACTTTTCGAAAGATTTCAAATATGATGGTTTAGTTGAATAGATAAATAAATAAATATATTTTGTAAATTTTATGAAAGATCAGAGAGAAGAGAAGGACAAAGTAATACTACAAATAAACCAATATCAATAATGGCAATGATCATCAGACTGTTCCGACCAATGATGGATGCAAAGGTTCATGAAAAGGATGAAAGGCGTACTTCTAAGAATGGAAGGAAGGAAGAAGAAGAAGAGAGGAAGAAAGAGGAGAGAGGGAGGAAAAATGACAGTCTTAAGGTTTTCAATAGATTGATTCTTCATCTAATTATTATTATACGAATCATATTTCCCTCATGATACTACTATCTATCTATCATCTTCTATGCCATCTGATCACACCTCTTTATTTCTTCCTTAATTCTCTCAAAAATCAAAAGTCTCTTATATTGGCAGTTGTAAAGTGAATTGATGTCATCAATTTATTTCTCAAAAAAAGGAAACAAAAAAAAGAAAAGGAAAAAAAAAAACAACGAATAAAATTTTCAAAAAAAAGGTAGTATTTTAACTGATTTGAAATTGAATTTCGGATTGATTAAATTTAATTTTATATTTTGCAGCTATAAGTTAATATAACAATTCATTAGACATGAAAAGATGAATGAAATAAATTGAAAAAGAAAAGTTTTATTAACTGTGGTTTAATCAGTTTTAGCCTTTTTTTTTGAGATATAGACAATAAGTAGCGAATAAAATTGAAATTAAAATTGATTGAGTAAAATTTGAATGAAGAAAGAGTGCAATGGGATTAACAAATATTTTTAATATTTTACTCATTTTCTAATTCATAATAAAAAATATAATGAAATTGAAACGAAAAAAAAAAATGCTACAAAGGAGTATATTAATGCTAATAAATTTTAAATAATAAAATTGTTAACAAAAATTTTTTAAATTTTAATTTCAATTGTCATTAATTGCTTGATAATTTCGCTTTTGATTTGCTTTAAAATTTAAAAAATATCAAATCTTACATTCATCATTGATATTTCATATTTCATTTGCATCTAATAAAATTATTTTTCATACTTAATGAAATTTAAACATGCCATTCTTTTTTTTTTTTTTTTTCTTTTTGTAATTGTTACAAAATGAATCACATTTTCGCTTTTTAAATAGCAAATCTATTGAATTACTAATTGATACTTAAGAAGCGAAAATCTTTTCGCAGTAATAATAATAGTTTATGACATTGTTCTCATCGTCTGATATTATATAAAACATTTTTAATTTGAAATTTCAATCATATCCTTTTCTAATAGTTAATAAAAATTATAAAATTTATAAAATTACATAATCATAATGTAATAATTTTTATCACTTTTACTGAGAAAATTATACTAAACGAAGGTCTTATGTAACAAAAAGACAGATAAGAAAATGCAATGACCAAATTTTTTATCAAATATTGATGAATTAAATGTATTTGGAATTATTTTAATTCTCATTTATTTCTACAATTTTTTCTTTTTCTTTTTATTTTTTATTTTTTTGAAATTCATTTCATTGTTTTTTAATTGTCAATGATTTATAGGTGAAATGCAGTAATTATTGAAGTAATCATTTATCAACTATTCAATCATTAAAATCATCCAAAAATCATTAACCTTTGACATTTCCATAATAATTCTATGGTTAGCATGATAGTTCGTTGATTGATCAGATTTTTAAAATCAGAATCAATCTATCGATATGATAATAATTAAAGTAATGAAATAATAGAAAATTGAGGAGAATGAAGAACAATTGAGAGAAATCTCAAGTGAAGAGTTAATACTTTAAAATGAAAATCTTGATACTTAAAATATTTGTCACCGATATTTGTCATCTTGACACCTTTTTGCATTTCTTCTCAACATCTTTCCATTTGCACAATCACCCAATAAATTGTTTTTAAATTTTCCATAAATGTCTCATTCATTAATGGCTTTTTAATTATTCTCTATTGACTGATGAAGTCTCCGAAATTTTTGTAATTAAAAAACTAAACTTTTTATAAACTTTAAAAGGAAAATTTTATTTACTTCATTCATTATAATTACTTCAAACACATCGAGCTTTTTTATTCAAATTATGTCAATACAATTTGCAATATAGTTAGTTCATTTTTAAAAAAGATATAAAATGAATGATAGCAATAATGAGTGGTACTCATTCATTTCTTTATTCTTTTTTCTCTTTATTTTTTAAAGTTTATTTTGCTTCATAAAATTTTATTTTAATATGTAATTCATTTTACTTATTCTATTAAACAATTGCAACTATATAATTTATGCAGAAAGAAATAGTAAAATGCAAGTGAGAGTGGAAGAGAGAAAAAGGAAAAGTTTGTCAAATTATTAAATTTATCAACTCTCCTTCTTTTACTTCCATTAGTATATGTAATGATCATCGATCATATACTCCGATTTTTATTCAAAAATATTTCACTAATGGATAATTTAAGATTTTCAATTTTTTAAAAATGGCAATTAAATCACAAATTACGAAAAGTTTTATTACGCAAGAATTAACCGGAAAGGTTGACAATATTGTAAGCATCAATGACAGGTCATTTTGTATAACCTTGCTTAGTGTATTGATGTGCCATCACACGGAAATACTTTGCATTAAATAATCGAAAATCCTGAATTACATTTGTCACTTACTCTCTACCATGAATTAAATTAAATTAAATCAAATTAAATTAAATTAAGTAATCCGTCCGATCATTTAATTTAAATTCTTGCTGATAAGTTCAAATATACTTAATTTTCATACATTTGTTTTGGTATGAATGATAGCAAATTTTTGAATACTTCCATTTCATTCATTTTCTTTCTTTCTTTCTCTCCCTCTCTCTTTCTTTCCCAATGTATTTTTCTCTCAAATATAAATAGAAATGATAAATAGTTCCAAAAATTTTATCTTATTTAATCATCAAATGTTAGTATCCTTAAGCAATTATGTATTTGCTGAAATCATATTGACAATACTTTTACGTATTTCTACTACAAATGAAAAAAGAAAAAACATTATTAACTATTTTCAGGAAATCGAGAAAGATGTAAAATATAAAAGGAAGAAAGCGCTAGAAGTATTTTCATATTTCAATTCATTATTATAAGTTCGTTCAATTTTATATTTCTTAATTTTGGTATATTATGGAGAAAAAAAAAAAAAAAAAAGCAAGAAACTTATATTTAAGAAGACTTATTGCATCGTTAAATGCCGGCAAAAAAAAAAAAAAAAAAAAAATCTCCAAAAGGTTAAGTATTAAGTAACTACAGGTATGTATAGGAAATTTTATAGGTCAAGATGATACTTGTTTAGTTATAAATTACAATTGCAAAGATTATTTGCACAAATATCATATATTGTAATTTTAATATAACGCTTATGATCGCTTCAAAAGCTTTTATTTAAAAATTTTGATAAAATTTAGGTTGCATTTGAATTAAAATTGTTTGCTTGTCCAATTTTTTTTTTTTTTTTTTGAAAAATATGAAATGATTGCTTTAAAAATGACACCACTCATCGAATCATTTTGACCTTGGACGGTGATCTTGCCACTTTGCTCAGTAAAAATTCAATCATTTCTGAATATTTTAATTATGTATGAAATTCATTAGGTCATATTAATCGTCATCAAATTAAACATGTAATTTACAGCATTTTGAATTGGTACATTTATTAGACAATTCATTAACTGTCTATTTTGGTATAGATATATAAAATGTGAAAAGTGTTAAAATTCATTTTTCATGTACTGAACAAATGGACAAACACTAATGACAAGATATTTGGAATTCAGAATTTTGTCATTAGAAAAAAAAAAAAGATGAAATTTAATATAAAACATTAGGGATAGGAAAAAATGTATTTTATAATAAAATTTAAAAATTCATCAAGCTAATTGAATTTCTAAAAATTTTTGCAAAATAATAGCATTTATACAAACTATTCTCATCAATTTCTAAAAATTTGGTCAATTGTATTAAATTTCGAAAAAAAAAAGAAACCGTACTGAATTTTAAGGAATTAAAAGCTAGAAACAATTCAACATACAATAATAGTAATATATTATGATACAGTGGGATGAGTCGTTGCATATCGCCTCTTGTTTTACGAGTTAAGTATGATGCATGGGCATTTTACGGGAATGAGATGTGGGAGTAAGGGCCGAAGTGTTCAGGATGAATGTTTTCTGGGTATTCCGTTTCTTCCCTGAAATGGTCCTTTGATTTCTGGTTCAGTATTGATGCTGCCGGAAATAATATCCAGTGTTTGCTTGAATGAAATTGAATTAGCTAAATTTGTAACTTACCACAGCTCCTCACAAAAAGCTTAAATATTGGTGGACAAGCATTTCCAGTTATATCAATATATCGATAGATACGCATGTGTGTATGTGTGTGTGTGTATGAGTGTCTTCATGCGTGTCTATCTGTGTCTGTATGTACGTCAAGTTTTAAAGTGCATTTCGATGTATTTTGGAGGAAATCTCGGGCAACAAACAACGCAGAGAAATGGAATTAAACGAAAAAAGGTGAATTCTGACGTGAGCTATCTCACTGTGGTAAGAAAGAAAAAAAAAAAACTGAGATGATTGGTTGTGAGTTATCTTCACACGGCTATTAATCAGCTTAGCATAAATTTTTGAGAAAGTACTCCACTTGAGGGAATGTTGCACTGCACTTTATCTCCTGAGCGTTATTGCTAAACTTTTTTCACGGTTATTCTAAAGTTTGGGGGAATGAATTTGTTTGTTATCCGCATGTTTCTTCTGTAGCTTCTCCAGCAGCATCTCCACAATTTTCTCCCAACTTTGCATTCAGTAAGCAAAAAGTTTTTTTGCAGTGGTTGCAGGTCCCACTTTATTTTGTTTTGGTTCACTCTTAACGAAATTGTATGTTTGCATTCTCTAGGAGAGCTTTCTTTAATATGACTTAAAAATTCTGACTATCTTATTCTTTGCTGTTGGCAGTTTACTAATCTTTCCGATTGAGCATTCTACTAGTTATAATTTGCTAAATTGCAATAGAACAAAATGATTGATGCATCTTACTTCTTAAAAGTGATATATTTATTGGTTTCGCTTAACCCTTAGGAACCATAGTACACTTGTCAAACTTGACACGATTTACAACGACTTCTTTACCTGTCGGTTTTTCTTTGTTTCTCGATACTATCCTTTATATTATTCAAAAATTTTCAGAGTATTATTTTGGAACATTGCAGCCCGTTTTAATAGAAACAACGTTTTCATTACTTGCTGCTTTGGTTTGTCTGGTCAAAGGAACAGCCGCTTGTGTTGCGTGAATTTTATGGCGCGGAAGAAGGAATACAGCGGAATGGCCGCTGATGCAAATAGTACTACTAGTAGCGGTGGGAAACGCACGTCGAAAAATGATATGTCGAATGATGCACAATGTGAAATGGACTTAGATCGACTTAATCCAATTTCGAAACGGAAAGAGGTACATAATAAGCTTATATGTCTTATTTCCATAAATGAAACTAAGCCTTATCAGTATTTTAACACGATTTATTCGAACTTTTTGATTCCTAGAATGGTCGCTAGTCCATCGATCTCGAAGATATTGTTGTTGCGGTTGATTGTTTTAACGTAAAAACTTTAAACTTTTATTTACAATGAATCGAAACTGAAAAATTTTTGCGAAATATCTCTCAATTTATACTAAGATTACAACTTGTGTTACACACTGTTGCAGGTTGTATATCCGGGAACAAGCGTACGGAATGTTTACGATGTTGCTGACTTGCGTGCACAACTCGGATCTTTTGGTTTAACTGTTCGAGATATTCCAGGAGATGGAAACTGTCTTTTCAGGTACCTCTTTCGTTTTTCTTATTTTATATGGTTTGAACTTGAATTTGCTAACATTTAGGAGATGGTCACTCTTATCGCTCAAAAAATGTTCGGTTCTTGTTTACTTTTCAATTTTCACCATATCGAAGTTCTTTTTTTTTTCAGGGCTTTGGGCGATCAACTGGACGGTCACACAGGGAATCACCTGAAGCATCGACTCGATACGGTCCGATATATGATAAACCATCGTGGTCATTTTGAACCGTTCATCGATGTACCTTTCGATCGTTATGGTTGGTGTTCTTCAAAATTTTTGGATGAATTTTTTTTTCCTAACTTTTTAGAGGATTTTTTGGCTTTATTTGCATTTCGGAAGCTTGTTTATTTTTTTTGCCACTCGCATTTTCGTAATTCTTCAACTATAATGACGATCTTGTATGAGGTGCAAATAGGAATGATATTTTAAAATACTGAGATTTAATTATAACTCATTCGTTCCAAACTTTCTTAAGTTGATTAGATTTTCTAGCCTAAAATCAAATTACAAATTTCCAATTTTTCTTGTTTTCTAACTAACTTCTTTAGTGCAAGGATTAAGCTAACGACTGTGTTATAACGGATACTCACTAAATAATGGATAGTTTTAATATGGAGTACGAAACGAATTTAATGGTCAATTTTGGTGTCTTCTGGGTTATGGAATTAAATTAAATTTTTTGTGCATTTCTTACTAATTACAATGTTTACAGTAAATGATTTGAGTCGTCCCGGTACTTATGCTGGCCAGGATGCACTTGTGGCGTTTGCGCGTTTACATGAAGTAAACATCATCATACATCAGCTGAATAGACCGTTATGGAAAATTCAAGGTTCTGAAGATAGTAATGCTCCTGAGCTTCATCTTTCGTATCATAATGGTGAGCATTATTCGAGTGTTCGTCGTTTCGGTGATATCGCAAATACACCCGCTGGAATACGCATTATGGTACTGAGTTATTGTTTCTGGAACAAAATCTACTTAATTTGTATCTTTTCCACCTTTCATTAATGAAGACTTGCTGAGAACCCTACTTGCTTGTTATCTTGTTGTGAAATATTTAAAGAAATCTCTAATCTAAGGAAACATGAATTGCATTTATTGAAATATGTAGTGTTTTGTCCCTTAAAATTCACTTCTGTCTTTCAAGTGATGATTAATGTGACTGAAAATATTGAAAATTAAAAAGGAAATCAAAAACAATGTACAAAATTTGTAAAATTTATAGACAACGGCACTTTGTTCGATGAAGTTTGAGGTCTGACCTTTTCCCTCTATCTCGGTACTTGTGGTACAAGTTCCAAAATGTGGAAATTTTTTGCATACTTATCCAGGCAGAGGGGGTCACTTTCAAAAATGAAACATACACCTGTCGCAAGAACACTATGTGATAGAATTGTAAACTTGATTAGTGTGAAAGTACATGTAAGTGATGCACAATTTTAAATTTCTAAAATAGATTAAGAAGAAAAAACGATATATTTCCTGAAACTGTAATACTAGAGTAAGTATTATTTAATAATGTAATGTATATGTATAACAATTTTTGTTTCAACTTTTACATCTGTCATTATCTTGTGCTTTTGCAGGCTCCAACTACTGTTCCATGTTGTGCATCGCACAGCGTATACACATCTACGAAACCTCTCACCTCTCATGCAAATTCTGCTAATTTGCAGCAGTCTGCAGCAAATTTACATAAACATAATACAAATGCTTCAAATGAAGGAGCCGTTAATACATACTTTTATGAGAAAGACGAATTCACTACCTTAGTTCATGAAGTACATTTCATGGCTTTTAAAAGTGTTTCTTTGATTATTTTCATTAACGCACATTTTGTATGTTTCATATAAAATTAAGGTTTTATAGAACTTCACATATAAAATGTTGATATAACTAAAAAAAGAAAAAGAAACGAAAATTAATTGTTTAATATTATGTTTTCAAATAACTTACACTTTTCTTTTTATTAGTGTTATCCCTAAAATTCTGTCCAGTTTTCATTTCCTGAATGTGATAATTTATTTCGATTTTTTGATCAGGTGATGAATCGTACTGGGTGCTGTGATGCTTTGGCTACAGAGGCACTGATAGAAAATTCGGGAGATTTGGATCAAGCTGTTGATTACCTGCTCTCACTTGCATTATTCGTTACCCCTGATGGTGATAGCAATCTTTCCAAATCGATGAACCGAAGTGATATGGAAAAGACAGGTAGATTTGATTACTTTATCTGAATTCTGGAATTGATTCATTGATTAGAATTTTTTTTAACTACCCAACAGCAAAATTTAATTAAAATCGGACAGGAATAAGGTTGAATTTGAAATAAAGCTGGCATGGTGCTTTTGGTTTGCAAGACAAGGGATATTCCTAGGAACATTTTTGCTATCCTTTTTTTAAGAAAATTCTTTTAATGGAATTCATTACTTAATAAATTCTTTCTTTTCATGACGCTAAGAATTTGTTATGTTATTGCTGTTGTACTTTTCTATATTTTAGAACATAGAATATTGAAAGGCCGAAATAATGATGTTAGCAGGCATCGTACTTTACCAGCTTGTCCAACTCGTGCCGATTTTGAGGTATTTTTTGTTATTTCATATGAATAAGAAGATTTTAGGCCATGGAGTACTTAATTGTTATGCAGTCTTTCCGATAAATCAATCAGTAAAATTGACATACTGAGCCAGATTCTATCCACTTTGCATGTCAGTAGCTTTCAGTATCCGAATTTTGCTTTCTTGTAAAAAAAAAGTAAAGAGAAGCGGTAATATTATTAACTCTTTTGCCGGGAACAAGTTTTCAGATTGAATCATGCCTTTCCATTTGTTGAGCCTTATTTTATAATCTTCTGAATCTCCACTGCATAAAGAAAAAAAAAAAAAAAATATTATGCTTAGGGAATGATATCCGTAGTTTCGGGAGCAAATCAGACCAATTTGGTATTTATAAAATTTCTGAGGTTACATTCTTACCCACTATTAATGTTTTAGCTGACAGCTTCTGAGCAACAGGAAAAACGGGGACGGAAACAAGGTGGTAACATGTCGGAAGAGCAATTAAATAAGCAAGGCGATCTTCGTTTCTTGACACTATAATTTAAACATTTTTGCCGTTCGTTCTTTCAGTATGCTTTCTGTAGATAGTTTATCAGAATTTTTGATCACAGATTCAATGAAAATCATTGAATTTTATTTAACCTTGTGTTTCATGATATTACGGTTATTGTATGTATGTATCATTGCTTAAATGTTTTGTTTGATATTGAATACTTAAGAGCTTAGGAAACTAAAACAGAAAAACAGGATCTGGATACCATGCGCCAAACACTGTAGTTTGAAAGGGTGAGGAATGCACTTAACTTTTCATTTCAGTTGTATTTAGCTGAAGATCAATATTCCGCTAACGCCTGCACTGTTTCATTTCAGCGCTAATTCTGTTAAATCATGTAAATTTATGCTCTTCATGCTAATCAGTATCACATGTTTTAACGACTGTTTAAGCGATCAAAGTTGGGTGAGGTTTAAGTTTAAATAACTATGGTGATTTCGCCGAAGAAATATTGAAGATTCTTATTTCTTATAACAAGTAATATCCCAACCAGTATACAAATAGCGGGTGATGAGGCTAAACTGCTATCACAGTGAGGTCCATCATAAATATAGTCATTAGATAAATGTGATTGTCTTCCATTTGCTTCCTTCTAACTACCATTTATTCTTACCATCCATCCTTCTAATGTTTTTATTAAACATTGAATGTCATTCTGTATATTATACATTGCATGGAACCAAAATTTCTCTCATTTTCGTGTGGTACTGCTGTTAGAATGTGAGTGTGTTCACATGTGAATTCATTATGTTTTAGTATAATTAATTAATTGTTAATAAATTCTATATAGATATATCGCTAGGATATGTCACTAAATCGTGTTTGGAGGATTGCTGCACAGGTGTGACGAAGAATGTTGGGAGAAGGGCGGGGAATGGTTATGGTAGGTAGTGGTTGACAAGGAGTTTGACAAGAATCTCAGCGAGAAGTGATGTATAGATGCAGAGATGACGAAGATTCCGCAATGATAGGAAATAGTTGACTTACCTACCGCTAATCATATCGCGGGATGTCACCACTCCTGGAAATACCTTCTTGCCTCATCTTTCGTCAGCATGCATTGTACCTGCATGCAGTCCATATATACATTATGTCTGTCGTTTGCAGTGCAGTGCAGTGCAGTGCAGTGCATCACCAGCAATAAGTGATGGAGGGGAGGGGTCTGCAGCACTCGCTCGCATGACTGAAAGCTCCCGCAAGTTAACCTCCCCAGCCCAACCCGCCCCACGAGCACTGCCCGCCCCTCGGTGGTTGCTTGCCACTCAGTTGTTGGTTGCACCCATCAGCTGCAATCCGACGAATTCACTGCTTTGCTTGGGTCGTCGTCGTCGTCATCGTTTTTCCCCGATAACCTACAGCTACCTATACCTCCGTGCCAGCTACGAATGTATGCGAGCATGCATGTGCGTGCATTCCCCGTACAAAAAGTGCACAGAAATACATGTGTCCTGTACTGTACAGACAGCAGCATGCACTTAAGTATGTGCGTGTGCATGTCTGTGTCTGCGAGTCGGTAACACACACGGCCTGTTGTATCTCGGAATGCCACGACAGCATCTCTCAGTGCCGTGGAATATCGACGCGGTAGCGCTCCACTCCGCCCCATTCGATCACTCGTCTCTCTGTGCAACTGACCGCCCACTGAGACGCGTCGCTCCCTTCCTCTTCTTTACATTCATCAATGATATCGACCGACAGTGTTGGGCCGTAATTTATTTGGATGTCAGCCAGTTTTCTCCATTTCTCACTGGAAAATTTCATCTTAGGTTTACTTACTCGTGAGTTACGTAACCAACGTTTGCATTCATTCCGTTATACGGTTTCGACGTATCCCTCACTCACGTGCTAAGATTGATTGCTGACTTTCCATTTATTACAATAAATATTTTCTATTCTTTATCGTTCCTCCTCATCACATCGCTTAAGTATGTTTTCATTGGCAGTGTTAATATATACGTTTAGAAGTATCACATATTGTGGTTTCCCTTCTAACTTCATTCTTGTACTTCACGCTAAGCTTTCGTTTACGTTCTTTGCAAATATGCCATAATCGGAGCTAAGTCAGTTTTCGAATGTAAGATTGTCATCAGTTAATGAAAAGGCTATTTGAGCTCAGTCACTAATCGGTCTTAGTCCATAGCATCTATTGATGGATGCATCTTTTTCATATTTCTCATATACGAAAGAAAGGTCTTGTTGTGTTGCTCTTAATTTCACAAGTGTATGTTTTAATATTTCATCTTCCGTTTATTATCAACCTTTCAACCTTTCTGAGTGATAGTTATTTGTTCTAGAATATTTTGTTCCACTTTATCCATCATATAAGTGTTTAATTTGCATGGAAATACCTCAGTTTGTTGTCCACATCTTTGACTTTAATCAGGGACGAAATTGTTCCCTCCCATTTGTGTTACTGTTTTTTTAATGCAACAGAACTTTTGTCTGGCATTAGTGCTATTTCAGTTTCAGTTTAATTGTCATCCCGTGTCATTTGATCTCTTCTTTTTGAACATTTCATTTATTAGCACTATCTGGGACAGATCATTACCGTCATAGTTTCCAGTACCAGCTGTGCCATATCTGAATGCAAAGTTAAATCTAAGAGCCTGTATATTCTCTCCCTTTCCTTTATCGTCTTCGTCTCCAGCCGAGTTCACTTTTTCATCGCTGTTTCGCTTCCCCTTTTATGTTCTAGCATTTTGCTGTCGTTTTTTTTAGACTGAATTACAGAAAGTCAGCTGTTCTCTTGCAGTCACTTCCCGCTCATTTCAAAGATTGCATTCCTAATCAGTACCAATATACTAGTGAAACGCATCTAAAATTCATTTAGCATGTGGGAGACTAGTGTGTGTGAATTGAGATATTGCGGAGATGACGGTACATAGGTGCTAAGTATATAAACCATGTGAGAGGTGCATTATCGATTGTGGCGTATGGGAAGGTTGGATGGATATATGTGATGTAAGAAGGAAATTGTAAGTTGTAGTGAGTTACCTTTCTTCCTCTCTTCATAAATATGAATGAATCCGGAATGGCTTGAGGGATGAATGGGTATGGTCGGGTGGGTTGGTAACTGCAAAGGTTAGGTTACTCAGTGTGATGGTAACTCAGTGTTTGATGGGCAGCTGAGTGCTGAGTACCTATTGGCATGCATGCATTGTGCGGACAGTATGCACACCAGTCATCCAGCTCGTAAGCTCGTGGTTTCGAGGTGCGACCTCTCGTTGCTCGGTGCATGTAGTTAGGTTAGGGTCGAGTTATAGCATATGTTTGGTAGCGCTGCGATGAGCGGAGCGCTCGTGGTGGCATAGCATAGCAATTCAATATAATAGTGAAAGGGAAGAATTCGGAGAGGCAGTCTGATAGAGTGTGAGAGTGAGTGAGGCCAAATGGGAGATGCAGGGTGAGAGAAGGAGCGAGGTTGTGGTTTTGGCGCTAATGGTGAAGGTTTATGGTCATTGCAGCTGAAGATATGTTGGCGAGTTGCCATTAGGACGATCCGAACTATCGATGGAAGTGTCTGTGCGAAGATTGGATGGAGCGCCTCTGAGCTCTCCCTACCCTCTCCCTATGCACTGCAGTTTGCGCCTCTCTCACTTCCACAGCAGTGAAACTCGAGCAGCATACGGCGTGCGACCCGCTCTGATTTCTAATGTTTGCATGCTGCTCGTCTCCGTATGTTCTGTGTGCCTATGGATGGGGTATATGTATGTGGGTATGTGTGTGTGTGTGTGTGTGTGTGTGTGTGTGTGTGTGCTTGAGTGCATGGGATGTATGCATGCATGTGTCAAAGTTGAGTACGTATTGTGGTAGTGGACGTGGTGACATGTACATCTGTAATCAGAGTGACTTTGTAGTAGGCTGTGTATGGTGAGTGTGATGTCATATTGTTAAGCATTTGCCCAAACCATTCCTTAGCTTATTTATCCCATAGATCGATAGTTTTTTTTTGAGAATGGTTGATGTATTGACTCGAAAGTTTGAGACATCACTGTTGCATTTCTCGGCTGACATATGTATGCTGCCGTTGCTCTTACTGCTGTTGTGATTTTATTTGCTGTTGTTAGATCATTTTAGTGTATAATTTATTGAAGTTGTTATGTGCGTTGCAGGTTCTCGTTGTAGTTGCGTACTGCCGTAGTAGTGTAATCATATTGTGAAAAATCCAGATAACAGCAATCAAAAGATGAGCGCAGTTGACGAACGAGTTGCTGAGAAAAGGAAATTGGAGGAAAAGGATACTGAGAATGGTGTGTCCGCTAAAGGAGCCAAAGTTGAAAATGGAATCGTTGCGGTAGGTTTTGCTTAGTTTTTGAATCATATAGATCCAGATATTCACATTGACAACTGCACTTCATTTTTTTATGATACTGACATTTGAAACTGTCCAAACATCATAAATCACTACTCATTAATTTTGTATCCCCAAAAAATAGCACTTTATTTTGTTTGACATTTTACTCAATGGTGGTGGTCTTACTGAATTGTCGACGTCTTCATTTTCAGGCAGCAGGTGATGCAGAGGTCAGAGATTTGAAACAAGACAAGAATTCCTCATTGAAAGGTCTTTTAATGCGGTTATACTTCGCTTTTTAATTGATTGTTTTACTGGATCACATTTTTTTTTAATTTAGCTTTTGAAGATTTGGTAGATAATTAACTTGATTGAAGAAAACTGGAGCTTGTTAATTATTATTTGAATGGGGATTGCTGTTCAGGGCATACTTTTAGATGTGTTATATTGTGCAAATAGTTAGCACGCGCTGTTCTTATAATCTTGGTCAATCAAATGTGAAATAAGATTTTGCAGAAAATAAAGAGAAGACAGCAAATGAGAATCATGATGGCGAACATGAAGAAGATGGTGAGGATGCAGCGGATGGTGAAGAGGGTATTGAAGAATCGAGTGGTGGTGAGGATGATGAAAGTTTAGGTGATGAGGAAGATGGAGGTAGCGAAGACGATGAGGCGAGCATTGGATCCGAGGAAAGCGACGGCCAAGGCGATGGTGAAGGGGGTGATTTTGGGGATGATGACGATGTGGAAGGTGAAGAAGGTGGAGAAAGCGAAGAGTAATGATTATAGTAATGTTGATGCCTATTGCAAATTCTATTTGCCGTTTTTTGTCGTCCGTTTATTAATCCTGATCTTACAATTTATGGAAGGACAGTTCAATTTTAAAGGTAACAGTTTGGGGATTATTAGTTATAAGTTTTCAGGATTTTTTTCTAATCCCTGTAACACACTGCGGAGAAAGATGCAGTTTTGGGGATGTTTGTTTTTTGAGTGAATTTTGAAACTTTTTGCCTTAATGTGAACTGGTCCTTCCAAACTGTTCTCTTTGAGGAAATTTTAGCTGTTATAGTTTTGTTTTCTGCTATTTATAATGGTGTTTGTCATAAAAGTTTATTTAAATATTTGAAAATTTGTTCGTCACTCGAAAAATGAACGGGCAAAATTTTTGAACTTCCCAGCTGCATTTCCTCAAAAAAATGTAGAGACTGGGATTTTCGTTTTACTTTAAAGAAATTGTTGTTATTACGTTGTTTTTTTTTTCTTCTGATTTATATTTTATTTATTATATGTTTAGATAAAATGTTGTTGGCATTTTTATGTTTCCCCTCATTTCCCTTTCCTTCGTTCTTTTAGTTTTGAAATTGTCTTGCGAGGAAAATCAGATTTGTTCATTTATCTATTCTTAATTCTATGTATATCTATTTTATGCCCTCTGTTGAATTTGTGGAAGGTGCAGTACATTACTCACAGTAGTATTATGCGCTTAATTAATTCAGGAAAGAATTTGCATGTTCATGGAATTCTGGATTTTTTCTGAATTTCATTTTTTTTGTACTGCTAGCAGCAACCATGATTTGTTTGCACCATGCATTATATGTATATGAGACTATCTGCACACACACACGCAATGGCAATGGAGGCGACTTTGTCGTGTATTAATATCGTCACGATTTTCCCTCTCCTTTGGAATAATTTCTAAATAACTTTGGTTTATCGTGCTCACATAAGGATTGGCGCCACTTTCTGAGCTAAATAGAAGTATTGTTTGTTGATATGGTTATGATTTATTATTTCGTATGATGTCAGAGAATGTTTTACTGTTTTGCAGGCGTTCTACTTTGTATGTGTGTGCGTACGTATGTACGTGTGTGCGTGTCCGTTTTGTTCGGAGTATTAAAAGTAACCTCATTCTGTGGCAGCAAATAATTGAATTTTCATTGTATTTCAAATGAATTTCCGGTTTTGGGAGAGTACAAAAATGGTCCTTTAGTTTGCGAAAGAATTCGGATTTTATTGCAGTTCTGATGGTTTTGAATAACAGCATGGGGTCTTCCTAGAGTTGCTCTTTACGCTACGGGGATGAAAAGTAGAGAATGGGTAGGTTTTGGGCGCAAAGTGGTGGGAAACTTTCGAGGAAGCAGGCAGTAGGGTTTCTGAACATAGAAATAGGCGACTAAAGTGTTTTAAATTGCTCTGAGACTCGTTGGTAGTTCGAAAGAAACATTTACGTTGGCAACCATTTCGAGGAGGCGTGTTTAGAATTTAAAGATGGTCGTACTTTTTCTAGGTATTCTGCGTGTACTGTAATTCAAGGGTATTTTTGACGGTGTTCACGTGATATTGCTGTTACGTGATATATTCCCAGAGATAAGTATACTTTCATTGAAGCATATTGAGGCGGAAGATGTCCGATATGGTACTTTCTTAAATCTTTATGTATAATGCAGTTAACATTGAAAGAAACTGAGTTCATTTTAAAGTTTTGTTTTTTACCTGAATTAAAATTGAACATACTTTATTGAAGTGAATAATAGGATAGTTATCAGTTAGGATGAAAGTAATAATTAATAATTAGTTAACATATTGCAAATAATCCATTTGACAATTGACAGTTGATATTATTGAAGAAAGAGTGGTGTCTAAGTAATTACTTTATTAATTGCCTCTAAATTCAATTATTATTATCTGAACTGATTATTAAATATGCTTTACACCGTATTTTAGATGAAATGTTTGCTTTAGATGATTCTCCGTTCCTTAATTAAGTTTATTTTTTCGGCATTCGAGCATCAATGTCACTATTCTATCTTTAGTCTTCTTTAAAAAAAAAAAAAAAAAAGGATTTTCTGGCACTGTAATATTATTTAACAATTCTACAACTTAAATTTATGCATCATTTGGAAAATTACATATCAGTGCACTCATTCATTATCAAATTACTGCTCTATGAATGGTAAATAGTACGATGATGATATTATTATCAAATTATATAATCTGAATATGTGATTAATTGCTGATAAGTTTATTGAAGAATTTTTAATCAAAAGGAAATCAGAAAGAAATTCCTCTTCAACAAGATTTAATTTCAATGGAAAGAAATTCAGTGAACAAAGAATGAATAAAATCATCTTCAAGCATCTTTTTCTATATTGCTGCATTCTTGTTCAATCGAGAATTTTGATTAGAAAAAGGAAAAAGAGATTTCAAGTCATTTACTTTATCATTTTAATCTGATCATTTATATATTTATTTGATCAATAAAATGATGTTACTTTATTTATTTCTGTCACTTGATTTGATTTTTTTTTTTATTATTTTGAAATTATTATGTTTTCTTTTAATCGATAAAATTTTTATTTTGAATTATTTGATTTTAATCGATAAAATTTATTTTAAAATTATTATGTAACATTTATTTTTGCATGCCACATGAGAGAGGCTTAATGTGACATTTAATCTGATTTAATGACAAATTTTCCCAGAGAGATCGATATTTCAAAAAAACTAATTTTCACATTTTTCATCAAGAATAATCGAGAAAAATGCTCAGAAGATCAATCATTTTCGTTTAGCAGTTCATCTAACTTTTGATTATAAAGAAAATAATGCAAATATGACAGATAGTAAAATGACAGGAATCAATGAGTCTGCAATCTAATTTCATTTAATTAAATTCAATATATTATAATCGAAATATCAAATTGAAAAGTTATAAATGAAATGTTGATATAAAGAGAAGGTATATATGTTCTGATTGGTTCTTTAATACAAAATTGTCAAACTTGTTCAATATTTGTCACCTGTAGAGAGAGAGAAAGAGAGAGAGAGAGAGAGTGATAAAAGCGAATAAAATATAAACTTTGTTTATATTTAAATCAATTTCAAAATTAAATGTCAATTTATGCTATCTTTTTTTTTACTTGCATTGTAGTATTGCTTGCATTTAGTATTAAATTTTAATTGAAATAGTGTCTTATGCAAAAGTATGCATTTTAATTAGTTCATATAACCACCAATAACTATGAGCTTTTAACCATAAGCATAGTTGAACTATGACCTATGACCCATAACATTATTTCATTTCAATCATTTTTTTTTTTGCAGATAAATGGACAGGTATTATTTATATGTGAAGAAAGAACATTATCTTAAAGATCAATTATGAATAAATGATCAGAGATTAAAAGTAGCTGACTGATTGTATTCTGCTAATTTGCTTCATTCAAAATCATTAGAATAAGTTTAATTAAACAAGCACAGTGATGATATTATCATATCAGTTATACTAACTATACATTGATAATGTTATCATATCACTGCATTACTGATTAGAGCTTCTCATCAATTAATACAAGTAGTAATAATAAGTTTTTTATTAAGTAATATAAAGTTTAACTTTTTAAGTAATTTCAAACTTTCTTTTTTGTCGAATTTTTTATATTTTCCCTTAAATGATAAATGTGAGAAATGTTTATAATATGGAACATAGCAAAATAGAATATTTCTATTACAAAGAGAAAGAAAATGTTAAAAAAAAAAAAAGAATATTATAAATGATAAGAAAAATCAAACAGAATTGGAAGTTATCAATTTAAATAACAAAATTTTTCGTTGTTTATTGAAGCGTTATAAATTGAACTCATTGCTAATTTTGATTAACTCAATTAATTCAGCAATTAATTTAATGTTTCAGTAACAATAAATAAATTACAAAGTTGTTTGTTGTTTATATGATACATTTAAATTATCATATTATCATATCTGTTTATTCATTTTATTTGATACACAATAGCTAAAGAAAGAATCATTTCATATAAAATTTTAGTATATAAATTATGTTTTAATAAGAAATAAATTATTTAAATTTAAAAAAAAAAAAAAAAAAAAAAAAACTAATGAGTGAGGTAAGTACACCAAAACAATAAAAAAAAAAAAAACACAAATTCAAACTGATTACAATTACCAAGTAGAAATTTTTAAAAATTAAACTAAAACAGCAAAAAACAAACAATAAACCAACAAATAACAAATAAACAAAATAATTATAATATTTCAAAACAAAATTAAAAGTAATTAATTGTTTAGTAGTATGTATATGCTATAATTGATCTCATTAATATTATGTGACTTTTGCGCTTAGAAGCGATTATTGCTATTGTCGTTATGGTATGCTAATTATGCGACATTGAATTATATTATGGAAAATAAAAAAGTAACTTTTGTTTACCTAAATATGCATACTTCTTCTTGTCATTAAATATTCAAAAGCAAAAAAAAAAAATTATCAATGAATTAATTAATTAATATTTAATTTAATTAATTCTTAATTAAAAAGTGTTTAGCAGAAATTTATTTATTCAATAAGGTTCTTTTGCCTTAATTTCTTACGTTGACATCTAAATGACAGATTCTTTTTTTTTTTTTATTAATGGAGAAACAAATGTAAACTTTCATCTTTAATTTTTTTTCTGAATATTTTAATTTTCTTCTCTCATTTTCCAAAATCTTTTTTGTTTTAGTTTTTCTATGCTGTCTTTGATGAAAAAAAATAAGAAAAAATTCAACTTCTCGAACAAAAAGAAAGAAAAAGTATTCACTTTAAACATTACAAATGTTTGCAGTTTAAAATTTCGCTTTTTAGTCAAATTAATGTTTTAAAAATTTGCAAAAAAAATTTTTTTTTTTGTAAAAGAATATTAGAAATAGAATTTTGTCACATTGATAGTTGATAATGTTAAATGTGTTTAAATCAGTTAAATTAACAAAAGTTAATGAGAAAGCGAAAGGAAAAAAAAAAAAAGTAAAAGTTTATGAAGCTAAGATTGAAATATCACATAAATTTTCATATGTTCTAATTTAATTTAATCTCTTTGAAATGTTTCATTTTATTGGTTACTTAGTTTCTATTATTGTTAATATCAATCTATCTATCAATTTATTTATCATCCATCCACTGATACATTATCATATAAATCGATCCGATCGACTTACTCCATCCAAAGGAACGATGAATACGACAATGTGTAATCCATTTTATCTTTTCCTTTCTTCTTTCTCTCTTATTTGTTTACGTAAAATTTACTAATTAACATTTTATGATTGTATTTGAAATGTTAGAAAGTACAAATGAATTGCAATCATAAAATTTAAACTTTCACTTTTTTTTATCATTCATTTTTTGTTGTTTATTTTGTTAAAATTATTTTTAAGTATCATTTTTTGAAATCAACATATATATATATATATATATATATATATATATATATATATATATATATATATTTTTTTGTTTGGCGAAAAGATTCAATTATAAAAGTTTTTGATAATATGTGAAAATTAGGTTAGAAAATCTTTCAATGAAATTTGCTTAAATTATTTGAAAGAATATAATTTCTAATAGTTTTTTTTTTTTCTTTTTGTTAATGTCATCTTTCTCTTCATTTCGTCTTATATTTATTTATTTCTTTTGCTCAAAATTTCTTAGTTTTGTTGTCTTTTTGATAATTTTATTAAAAATTTCTCATTTTCTTTCTCTCTTATCCATCAATAGATAATCAAAATAGTTGCATATTGATTTTGATGAAAATTAGTTACTCTTTTAGGAATGTTTTATTGGACAAATTAATTTTCTAAGATTTAATTAATTTGTCATATTTTTATGAATGAATGTAAATTTTTTGATTAATTTGTTATAATTTGAGAAACAAAAAGAATATAATTAATGCAATTAATATAAGCAATTACAATAAATAATTCATTGTCTACAAAATTTAATTTAAATAACACAGCCATTGTTCAATCAATTTATTTAAATTTATCATTTTCATCCATAGTATATGTGAACTGTTTTTCTTTTTGTTGCTTTTATAATGTCTTTTTTTTCATTTTATTGTATTTATATCAACTATCAAATAATCTTATCATATCATATCATATCATGTATTGATGTATTATATATAATGCATTGTATCGCATCGTACCATATCATATCATATCATAAATCATATCATGTCATATCACAATTAATATCATGATCATAATTACATCGTGTATCATACCGTACATCATATCATCATATATCATCGTATGTGATCATAATCATAATATATGTCAGATTATATCATATCATATCATAATCATAATATATGTCAGATTATATCATATCATATCATAATCATAATATATGTCAGATTATATCATATCATATCATAATCATAATATATGTTAGATTATATCATATCATATCATAATCATAATATATGTCAGATTATATCATATCATATCATAATCATAATATATGTTAGATTATATCATATCATATCATAATTATGCTATATATCATATTATACATAATATCGTTATCATAATCATGATCATATATCACATCATACCTTATCATATATCACTACATATCACACGTCACACCATCACATATCACTATATCATATCATATCATATGCACCATATTTCTCTGTTATATCATCAACTGATTGATTAATTAGAAACTAATTAATGGATATAATTAGGGTTTTCAGATGATTGCTTTCGTTTGTCTGATTATTATATCAATCGTTTGGTATGGAGAATGCCTTAGCAATATACCTTTGGCATCATATAATTTAAAGGTGATAATCTTACTTACTATTAATTTATAATTTTAAAATGTCTAATTGTTCCATTATCAATTTTTGTGATCAATAAGATAATAAATTTATCAAACAGTTAAAGAATTCATTCATATAAGCTATACATACATATAAATAATCACATCTTTACATTTATGACATTTCTTGCAGAAGAAATAAAACTAAAATATTTGTTGTTTATAAAACTTAGTAAAAAAAAAAAGGGTAAAAATAAACAAAATAATAGCAAATTCTTTTTTTTGCGCTATTTTTATTTGTTGTAATATTAGGAAAAAAAAGAAAAAATTTTACTGCTTTGTTTACAATAATGATTAAAAGTATTTGTTAAATCATTTCCTTTCACAATAATTATTCCACTTCTTGTTGTAAATTGTTAAGCATCTGTTCCAAATTTTTTCCTCTCTCTCTCTCTCTCTCTCTCTCCCTGAAAAAAAAAAAAAGAAAAAACATTAAGTTGCTAAGGAACACAAATAAATAATTAATTATTGTTCGCTTTCCGAGGAGGAAATTTGTTATTTGCTTAAACATTTAAAATCATCTATGCCATTTATTATGCATGCATAAAAATAATTTTAAATTAAAAATTTTGACTGATAAAGTAACAAAGTTTATTTTAAAATGAATTCTGTCATTTTTTTTTTTTTTTTTTATTTACTTTTTCATATATTTTCAATGCATTTAACAACATTCAAATATTTTAAAATATTAAATTGAATATCAGTATGATATCATACTGATATTGTAATTAATTTGATAAATTATTCATATCAAATATTAAGGAAAAGCATTGATAAGATTTGAATGATAATAAATAGAAAGTTGAAAAAAAAAAAAAATTAAATGATAAATATATTTTGAGGGATAGCACAGGAAGGTACAATCTATGAAATATTTTGGAAAAAGGAGTAGTAGTGATTTTGATGAAGAAATGAGGATTATCAGTAGAAAGATGTCAAGAATTGATAAGATTAATGGAAGGAAAAGTTAGCAGGTATGTAGTAAAGAGAGAGAGAGAAAGAGAAAAAGAGAGAGAGAGAAAAGCAGAAAGGGAAATTGGAAAGAATGATAAAGGAACAGTGCCAAATTATTTGATGGCAACAATTATTAAAGTAAATGAAAAAATTGTTGTAAAAATATTTTAATTTTCATAAAATCAAAAAAAAAAAAAAAAAGACTCTTCTTATTGCATTTGGCATAAAACGTAAAACTTTGAACGTGTTTATCACGTTTGACGTGCAAACGTTTAGTTGACAGGTGCTAGAAATGAAATTGGTATGTAAATGAATACAAAATTTCCTTTTAAAAATTATAAAGTAACTTTTAAAATTTTTACATGAAATGGTTCTGATAAATTAGGATAGTATCTGGGAAATTTTGAAATTAATTGTTTGAAAAAACTAAAATCTCAGAAATATCACAGAAAATTAAAAATGACCGCTATAAACATTCATCTGGAATATTTATTTATAGAAGCCGGTCAATAAATCATTTCATTTCAGCTTTACTGCCGTAATGGTCAATCACATATTCCGGAAACACGAGTTCCATCCTTATGTCCATCATCCAGCACTTCGTGCGGTTATTTCGAATTCGGAAAAATATTTTTGCCAGGAGATAAGGAAGAACTGTTAGCATTCTATGAATGTATCGATTCCAGTATTCTTATTACTGATAATGATGATAATGATGAGCTAAAACAGGTTCACATATTGCATATTTAATTTTTAAAAAATCATTTCGAATATTTTTTTTTTTTTTAGATCAAAGAAATTTAAATTAAAAGAGAAGAAAAACAAAAACTGATAACTAGGATTACAACAGGATAGAGTAGCATTATCTGTTAACAATTATCAGTTTAAATGATTATCATCAATCATTATTATAACTGAAATGTCTTATAATTTCTTCTCACTTAAAAATTAAAATAATTTTTGAACAATACTAACATATAATTAAACAATTACAATACAATTAATTAAAGTTTAATAATTTGTGCTTTGTAAATTAAAATTAATCATTGCAGTTTAATTCAACTGCAAAATATTTATTTGCATCTTATAAAATAAAATTAAATTTAAAACAAAAATCTTTTGTACAAATGAAATTGCTAAAATTGTTCACTAAAATTTAAGTAGCAAAAAAAAAAAAAAAAAGATTCAGAATAAAACTTTTTCATAATTAAAATTTATGAATATATAATCGCTAATATCAATGCTAATTTTATTTTAGTTATTATTTTCGAAATATTGTGATGATCAGGCACGTTGTCGAGAAATAATGCTTTCTTCATTCAATCCTAAATTTATTCAATATTTAATTGAACAAAGTGATGATAGATATTTGAATAAGAGAAATGATGATAAATTACAACGATTATTGACAAAGAGAATAAAATTTTGTTGCGCTATCAATGATTATCTTCTTCAGAAAATTATTCATTCTAATGAAAATGTTCTTCGTAAGTTCTTCTTTTTTTTTTTTTTTTTTCTCTTCCCTTTTCATTGGCTAATTAATTAATTCTCTCTTTACATTAATAAATTAAATATGATTATTTGAGAATTTAAAAGAAAAAAAAAAAACAGAAACAGAAATGACAATTAAAAATCTTTGTTTATTTTATTTAAAAATTATTTTATATCTTTCTAAACTGTGATAAGCATATTTTGTAAGAAAATTAATTGATATGACTATTTATTAATAATATAATTTTAAAAAATTTATAATTTAAAATATAATTTTAAAAAAAAAAAGAAAATTAAATGAATTTTTTCAATGTGCTCTTTTGTTTACAGCAACATTAGCACCTGCTGAACCAGTCATCTGCAATAATGTTTACTGTCAAGGTGCGCCAATTGGATGTCTCAGTTACACGGAATACAATCAAACGAAACAATCAGAAGGAGTCGAGAATGAGGACGAGAACGAGAACGAGAACGAGAACGAGAGGGATGTCATATTTGTACAACCTGTACATATCAATTATGAAGACTATACAATGATTTCATCTCAAGTATTCATATTTTAAAATTTATATGAAATACTGCAAGAAAAATATTTCAAAATTTATTTAAAATATTGCAAAGAAAAAACAAAAAAAAAAAAAAAAACAAAAAGCAATAATATATAAGTTTTTCTCTTTAATTTTGTTAAAACAATAAATTTTTTAAATAATTTAAATTGAAATTTTTGAAATAATTTAAATTTATAGTTGTAATGTTAGTTTGTTTTATTTTTGTTAAGAATTATTTATTTTAGTCTATAAATAATAAATATATGATGAAGTATATAACCGAATATCATTGTGTTTATCGACATTTTAACGATGAATTATATCGATACTGCTTGCTGATAAATGATCAGCCATCTAGTGATAATCATTGCTTTTATGGTGATGGTTATCACATATGTTGTTGTTTTCTTCAAAGAGGTATCATTTAGTAAATATAGCTATTCAAATATGCTAATTAATATTTCAAAATTATATTTTCAATTTTTTTTCGAAAAAAAAAAAAAAAAAGATTTACCTAAAAAAATTTTTTTAGGAGCTCGAACTTGTGATCCGTTATCAGCAAAAATAATCGCGAAAACATCGACAGAAATTTCTGAAATTATTCCCAATAAATCGACAATATCTTTGCATGCATTTAATACAAATATTAAAACTAAACTTCGTACTAAGTTTGTTCTTTTTTTTTTTTTGAAATTGGATTTTTTTTTTACTTTCTTATTAACTGAAATGCAAAATAAATTTAAATTACACATTTTAATTTATTTTTTTTAAGTTAAATTTGCAAACGTTAATGTGTGCAAATACAATAAATGAAAATAGAATGTCAATTAGTAAGCAAATTTTGATAGCTTATCATTAATTTAATATTTCTGATTATTTAATAATTAGATATTCGAATTTATTTGAATTAAATTTTTCACTGAACAACTAATTGGGAATTTTTCAAATGATTGATCATTTGCAGTATATCATAAACTAGCAGAAAATGTACCATTTCAAATTTGTTTATCATTTTACAAATTACAAGTGATAAAAAAGTAATTATTACTTTTAATATTAAAGTATAATCGTTTAAAAGTATTATGAAAAAAAAAAAAAAAAAAAGGGGAAAAGTGGCATAAGTTATTGTGCTTATTACTAATTTGTAATTAATTATTTTTGTATTCCTCATTATCATTTATAAGTTCAGATGTCGCGCAGTTTATGAGATGTCATCAGAATCTGAAATTTCGATGAATCGTAATGGTCGGAAAAAATTCTTTTGCGAAACAAATGTTATTAGCATATCAAATTCGTACTATTTTTGTCATATTTTACTTATACTTTGTTACTTTATTAATAATTATTTTAGTATAGTTGTTATTTTATAAGTTATTTAAGAAAAATGAATTTAAAATAATTACAATTGAAAGAAAATTGTGTGCTATTTTAAGTTAAAATTAAATGACTGATTTGAATTTCAATATTTTGATGAAAAGATAGAAACGAATAATTCTTTACTTATATTTATAAATAAAACGAGAACCTATTAAAAGGTGAGCAATTGAAATGAAGCAGTAATTGTTGTTGGATTATTTAAATAATGAATTAAATTGATTGATTATTATCAGTAATGATACTGATAAGCAATTGTTATCAATCAAAAGTGATAAATGATATGAATTATTTACAGTATTAACAATATCAATAAAAATTAAAAAAAAAAATGAATTATACATAAGCGACAGATTAATTGTTGAAATTAAAAGTAATATTTAGAAAGTATTCAGTCTGATAAAAAAATGAATTAATAATTTTTAATTGGATGCAAAAAAAAAAAAAAAAAAAAATGAAACAAATAAAAGAGTAAAACTTATTTTTACAATTATAATAGACATTTAAACTTATTTTATCACATCTTTTTTTCTTTTTTTCCAATAAAAATTTTAAGCTAAATGATTAAAGAAAAAATTTCTCTCTTTAAAACAATATTGTCAAATGAAAAAATTTTTTTTCTTCGACAATTTTCATTTTCCAATTTTTCATTATTTTTTCGAGAAATTAATTTTTAAAAATGAATTTTAAAAAAAGTGTAAGCATATTTTTTCTTTCGTTCAATAATAAATTATACACACATCAAATTGATTACTTTCAAACTGATTATGATAGTTTTTCACGCATCTTTCAACAATTTTCATTTTATGGCTTTTCTTAATTTTCAGATAAACTATGTTAAATTGATGTTTGCTCAAATATTTCTCTTCAATATAACTTTTAAACTTAAAACTCTCTCAAATGAATTTTTTTTTTTTTTAAGTTTGAAATTAATATTCTGTTGCTTTTCCTTCTTTTCTTATTATCTGTCTAATTATAATGAAAATTTTTCAAATACTTTTCTACCTTTTTTAAATGAGAAATTTTAAATAAATTAATAAGACATGAATTACACATTTAAAAATTAATAATTTTTATAAAATTTACATTTTTACATTTCAAATTTATTCATATCATTCATTTTCTTGTACATTTAATTTCAATTAAACATTTTGCATACTTTTCATTTTTCAGTTCATTTCGGAATTATTCCAGTAGAATCGAAAAGTTTTATATTTTTTTTTTATGTTTTTCAATTTTTGTTTTATGCTATCAAATTTTTCATCTTTTTATACGGGAATTCTTTGAAATAAATGAAGGATGATGTAATGAACATTTCAACGTATATTTGAATAATTTAGCTTATTTTATCTCTTTGATAATTAATTAATTAATTGATATAATTAAGTAAATAAAACAGCTTTTATAGATAATTTGTGATAATTTGATTTAATTGTAAAATTAGGTAAACGATGTAAAATTTCAATTGGTATTGAGTAATGATTCCATAATTTCAAAGTATTTTATAAATAAGCGAGCAATAAGTGTAACTAAAAAATATAATTTTGTGTGTTTATTAAACAGATAAATAAGATTTTTAATTTTTAACTTAAAAATTTTGAATTTAAAAATTCTACAATATATGCGAATTATTTTTTAGCAAAAAATAAATTCAATGTCGCTTATATCGGTTCCATTAGCAATACCGGAAGATTACATTTCATCTTCATCGGGTAGGTTTTCAATTAAATGTGATGTGTTTCTTGTCATCTGAATTGATGACACATTCTTATAGAAGGTGCGTCAGACATTTTGGTGACAGGAACAAATGCGCCTAACAAAGAATTGGGCGGAAAAGATGAAAAGAATGTAAGAGAAGAAAAAAGAAATTCGATGGAATCAATGCTATCACCGCTAATTACATATATGCGACTGTTGGGCTTTACAAATATAACAAATAATGATCGATTACAGAAACCTTTACTAGTTTACAATATTTTGGTGATAATTTGTTTGGTAAGTGTATTTGAATTGCTGTAATCAGGGAATGATAATGATGATAATGTTACTGTGATGATAATGATAATAACTTAATAAAAATAACAATAATAAGTAATATTAAAAAAAACAGGAAACAAATGTTTATAAGCTAGAATATAGTGATTATAAATAGTGATAGCAGTCTTGAATAACTCTGAATAGTGATTATAAATAGTGATAGCAGTCTTGAATAACTCTGAATAGTGATTATAAATAGTGATAGCAGTCTTGAATAACTCTGAATAGTGATTATAAATAGTGATAGCAGTCTTGAATAACTCTGAATAGTGATTATAAATAGTGATAGCAGTCTTGAATAACTCTGAATAGTGATTATAAATAGTGATAGCAGTCTTGAATAACTCTGAATAGTGATTATAAATAGTGATAGCAGTCTTGAATAACTCTGAATAGTGATTATAAATAGTGATAGCAGTCTTGAATAACTCTGAATAGTGATTATAAATAGTGATAGCAGTCTTGAATAACTCTGAATAGTGATTATAAATAGTGATAGCAGTCTTGAATAACTCTGAATAGTGATTATAAATAGTGATAGCAGTCTTGAATAATTCTGATAAAATTTTAGGACAAGAAACAATTGATAAAATAAATAAATTGTCACATTAATTTCATAAATTCTAGCTTATAAACAAAGTTGGAAATCAAGAAAACAACAAAATTCTTTGCTTAAAATTCATTTAATAGTGATGAATTTTATGCCAAATAAATTTGTTTAATAGCAAATTTTAATTTTAAGGCTATAAGAATAACTAAATTTTGCTGAATAAATTATTTTTATCAATTTCCTTTTTATATATTTTATTTTTTTAACAATTATTTGCATAATTATCACGCAATACACAAACTTTTGTTCCTTTCGTATGATGGATTTACGGTACGATTTGCATTTACAACTGCAAATGCACTCTTCTTAGCAAGGTAAAATTAATAAAATAAATTATAAATTATAACACTTCGAAAATTATTCCTTCTCGCATATAAAATTTTTTTTATTTATTTGAATCATTTTAAATTTTAAAATAAATTTTCCATTTTTTTCATTCATCGCTTTTTTTTTTTTTTGCTTCATTTTTAATTGCTATAAAAAAAAATTCTCTTGTTTTTTTTGTAAACTAATGTTAGAGTAAAAATGTAAAAAATTTAATAGTCGATTTTTAAAAAGAAAGTTCTAATTTATAAATTTGAAATCAAAAATTTAAGAAATAAAAATTGTTTACAGTGGTGGCATTTGTGCATCATTTCTATATTTCATGCAAAAAAATCTGTTAATGTTAAACGAAAGTGTTATCAGTCAGATAGAATCATTTGATGAAAAATTTTATTGCTCGAAAAGAATACGAAAATTTTGTAAATTAATGGTTGTTGTTATTTTCGTTTCTTCTTGTATTACCGTCCTTTTTGATAGCAGTTTGTTTTGTTTTGTTTTGTTTTTTTTTTTCTTCTTGTTTCTTTCTTCAGAATACAAAATTATAAAATTTAATTAGTTGCTTTTTAAATTATTTTAAAATTAAAATAATTTCCACTTAAAATTAGCAATGAAATATTAGTAATTGATAAAAAAAAAAAATAAATAATAGTAATTTGAACAGAACTTTAAATTATAATAATATGTATATATATATATATATTGTATTTTATTTTATTTTATTTTATCATAAAATGTTACATCAATTTGAAATGTTTCATGCAGTAATCACTAAGTAATTAACTAATTAATTAATTAATTAATTAATTAATGCAAATATTCAAACAATAATTGTTGCATTTATCTCTTTCCCCTGTTCTTCTAAACAATTTTCACTATCTTTCGGGAGGAAAAAGATCACCAAAAAAGCTTAAATTAAATATAAACAAATGTAATTTAATTCATAATTCTTATTATAAACAAAATCCTATTAATATGAATGCTTTACACTCGAAGTTAGCTTAAGAATTTTGCAAAAAAAAAAAAAAAAAGAACTTTTATTTACATTTAACTTTTCTTCTCTGTTTAGCTTCAAAAAGGCAAAAAAAAAAAATCAAATTCATTGGGATATAAATTGAAATAAACTATGAAATAAACTATATCATTTTTTTCTATCAGTAAAAAAATAATTAAAATAACTGATAAAATGAAATAAAATATTTTGCACTAATTGTTTGAATAAAATAAACAACAATCAAATATTAAATGTAATAAATTGTATTACTGTAAACATTTATATATCAATGAAAAAAATTTGTAGTACAACGTATTGAAGTAACAACTAACGATCACGTAACTTCCACGTTTTACACTATTTATTACTTTGTTGATTATTACGTCGCATTTATGGCGCAATCAGCTTTAATGAGTTGTACAATACTTTATTTCTTGCCAAACTATATTTTGGCACGATGTTTGGATAAGCTTATAAATGATATGTATCATGCTGGAGTTATGCTTGATGGCGAGTAAGTATTATTTAATTTATTTTTCTCTTTTCTCTTTAAAGTATATTTTTTTTTCTAAATTTAATAAATTTTAATTAATCAAATCAAATATAAGTATGATAATATATGAATAATATGAGAAATATGATAAGATATGTAATCATTAAGCTTTCAATTCTGATTATTTTTAAGATTTTGATTTTTAAATTGTTTTAAGTCATATTTATCACTATGATAATGATCTTTAGCATGATTCAAAAAAAGGATTCAAATTCAAATTAAAATGTCAGATAGATTTAATGATTTGAATTTGTTTTCCTTCAATGAGTGAATGTTATCATCAATATTTCTGTGTGAAACATTCAAATGTTTATTTATTTTTTTTTTTTTTTGTTTAAATTTCATATTATAATTTAAAATTGAAATCGTTTTGCATGAAGGAAAGCTCTGATATTAAAAGAAGTGTTAAAATAATGGTACAAAGACGATTTTTATCAGAAATTATTAACAAGAATCATTATTATTATTATTAGGAATAGTAAAATTTTAAGTTGACAAAGTTAAATAAAGTGAAGTAAAAAAAAAGAAAAAGAAGTGATAGTAGTAAGGGAAAAGTTGATAATTTAATAAAACAGTAAAATACTTTTTATTCATTCAAATATTTGATTAAAAATGATAACTAATAAAATGAATAATAAAGGTCTTTCACAGGATGACATCTGAAAATGCTCTAAATAAACTGGAATCATTCCAGAAGCGATATCAGGTTATCACTATTAAAAATGCTATTTGCTTGTGGTGATAATGATAGTGAATGAATGATTGTATTGTATGATGATAGACATAACAAATGATAATTAGAAGAATTCATAATCATGAAATGTTATCTTTTGAGATGGATGGATGGATCAGTTTGAAGATGATTGTTTTATTCAGAAAATATTGCAAAATTTCCGATCTAATTGATAAGAATGAAAAAAAAAAAAAACTATTCTTTAACACTTTGTATTGTTTCTTTAAAAAAAAAAATTATTGATTTAGACTAATTTAAATTATTTCTTTCTTTCAAAAATTTGATAATTTTCTTAAATGTTACATATATTTTGTAAATTCTTTGTATTTGTTCATTTATTTACAATTTCCCTCAATTTCTCTCATCTTTAATTACTTCTAAAAATTTTCAGCTTCTCAAAAAAGCCGCTAATGTTATCGAATTTAATTTCAAATACATCGCATTCTATGTGCAAACGATTTGTTTAATTGAATTATCCTGTCTACTTTATGCATATTTACAAAATTTAAATTGGAATTGGTTTGATACAATATTATTTCTCATTTTCGTCATTCAAATCACTTCATTTATGTTATCATTTATAGTACCAGCATATCTCAATTATGAAAAGGTTTTCTCTACTTATTATTACAATTAAATTTTGTAATCTAATTAGATTGGACAGTGCTAAAGGATAATAAATGGAATAGTGAAATATTGAAATTTACTTATACATTTAAGAATAATTTCTTAAAAGTTACAGCTATCATTTTATTAGTGCAAAAATTTCAAATTTTCAAATTGGTTTGAAAATAATAATAGCACTAATGGTTTTTTTTTTGAAACTTTTAATGGTCAGAAAGTTTTGTATACTTTATTAAGTTGTTAAGAGGAAGAATTACCAGTAATTATGCTTTTGAAATGATTAATACAATTGCTGGATATTATAAAAAAAAGAAAAGAATTGTTGAATGATTAAAGAAATAATTTTGATATTGATATTATTTATCATCCTTTGATATATAGTTCTTGTAATTGTTCCATTTATGTTTGTTATAGTAGGTATAAATAAGTAAACAGTAAATATGAGTAATACTACTTACTAATGTGTTTATTAATTTTTTGACATTACTTTCCGTTTCTTTTTTTGTTAATTTTAATCAAAACAATATTTTACAGAATAAAAAGATATCGGAAATATGTCCGGAAATGTTCGAAAAACAAATGCAAAAAGATTCAAATGTTGTGCTAGCGGTTAGTTTCGCAGGGAAATTATTTCTTAGTGTATCATTTTCATTTTTTTTTTTTTTTTTGGATTAAAAAGCAAAGAATTTTAGAGTTTGAAAATAAAAATGAAAACATACTTTTGATCTTTAATATTTGGTAATAAGATAATAGCTCTCAAATGGTTCATGATCACAAGTATTCATTTCTAATTTACCTATAAATAATTACCGGATAATCGGATGATTAGTTTAGGTTAGGATTACAAACTTTTATTGGTAAAATGTTATTTTAGCTTAACTGATTTCGCACTTATAGACTAAAGTGCTAATGTTTATGTATCAACTTGAAGCAATGCCAATAATTTTCACTTCTGGTGGATTCTTCGTTGTCAAACGTTCACTTCTTCCTACAGTGAGTGTGTTCCTGCTTTCAAAAGAGTTTTTAATTTAACCTTAATCTTAATCTTGTTTGAATATAATTATATCTAATTTAACAAATGTTTTATTATCCTAAGCTGGTTTCGTTCATGCTCACTTATGTTTTCCTGATGATTCAACTCGGACAAACACCGGCATGTGTAATGGACAATAGCATGTCCGTGAAATCAGTTTGAAACAGTATTGCAATTTCTGAACAGATACTTACTTTTTAAATGTTTCACTTAACATTTTTATGACTTGAAAGGTAGTAAAAATATCGAAAGGTAAAGTGATAAGAAATATATGGAAAGATGAGATGATAAAAGTGTAGAAAATTTTGCACTTTTCCCTTGTAAAGAAATCAATGAAGGATGGCATTGATGATTCACTATTTATAAATTTATTGTATAATGAAAAATAGTCGCACATGACTACTTTTCTTATCATCTTGCAATATTCTAATTTCTGTCCATTAATACAACGAATAAACTGCTAATATCACCAACAAATATGCTAACCTCAGAATTAATAAGAGTAGGAAGTAACGGATTTTGTTCCATTTCAAAAATTTTAGCAGAAATGCATTGAACCAACTGGAGATGCAATTATTATTCATTACGTTACACAGCAGTGTAAATAACAGCTGAAAAGGGAAATTATTGGTAAAATGCATTTCTGCGAAAAGGCATGTTGCATAACTTTACAATGCACAAAACATGCCATCAGCCTCCCTCAACGTGGACATGAAAAGCTTTGAAGAATCACAATGAGATAAAGCGTTACTTTGTTTATTCAACTGCTTTATAGGAAAACAGGATACAGAAAAGTATAAAACTTTGCTCAATTCCAAATCTTTTCGAAAGATTGACTTTTTACAATTTGTTACAGAGAGAGGAAAGAGAGAGTGAGAGATAAACAGAGAGAGAGGAAGAGTAAATTTCATTAACATTTAATGAACAGTTTAAAAAATTCTACATTTGGAAAAGTTAGAACTTCCTCCAAAAGCAAAACTTTTTATAAGGCATTAATTTATAAAGGGAATAACGGACCACTTTTAGTATTCAAAAGAAAAAACCAGCGCTTCGAGAGAGAAGTTCGCATTATGGCTGCATTTTGCAATTTGAAAAATATTCATTTACGGACGTGTCACATAATCGAAACTATGATAAGTTGATAGCAATATTATGAAAGTCTCCAAGGTGAACTGGAAACTAGAGAAACAATTACATAAATGTTCGAATTTTATATCCAAGTATGCAAATATACTTTAAACAAAAAAAAACTCTTCCTTATATTTAAGTCTAAATGCAAACTCCGGTCACTCAAACCCTCAGCAATTACAGCCACTATTAGGTTGGGCTATTTCCCGATGATCCAAGCGAATTTGATCGGGAAACTCCGGAAAATCCTGCACATCCTGCGCCTCGCGCTTTAAAGCATCACGAGCAATTTCAATAAATGCTTGCTCTACGTTTACGGCTTCCTTAGCTGATACCTGGAATGCGAAACAAATCAGTTCACATTAATGAAAGGCAATTATCCCAAAACCCAAGCAAAGGAAAACGTAAACTTAGAAAAAACACATAAATCAATTTTATTACCCAATAATACGAATAGGAAATGTTTAACAGGTAACAATCTGCAATAAACATCCGACAGAAAAACAATATCCTCATCCCAACTTTTGCTAAGCATTTGTAATATTTCCTAAGTATTTATTCTACAAAAACCATTAAATGACTAACCTCATAATATTTGATATTATTTTTTGTTTGACACCATGCTTGCGCTCTTTTGGCACTAACGGCACGTCTAGCTTCTAGATCAATTTTATTACCCAGTAATACAAATGGGAAATGTTCCGGATCACGTGGACTGAAAATCAAATATTATTATTAACTCTCCAAGCTGCATCAAAATTTTTTTGCTAACTCTTCGGTACGCTGTTCATGATATGGCTACAAAATCCTGCACTACCCATACGAAATAACATTTGACAAACAATATTTTTTTGATTAAAAGCTAATATTATAAATAAAACACCAAACAAAAAATCCATACGTTGCAAAGAGATACAGATCCCACTCTTCTAAATAGGATAATCGACCTTCTCAGAATTCCCTTCCTTTGAGACAATTCTTGGAAACATAAGGCCATAAATCATTTATACCTTTTTAGAATAAATCTACTTGTCCCAAATAAAAATATTACAATTAAAAAAATGTATAAATGTAGCATATTACCAATTACATAGAAAACACATTCCTTAAAGCTAAAATAGGTACACTAATACCTCAGATTCAGCTGAAAATCACTGTGTGGAGCTAAATTGTCGAAAACAAACCTTGCTTGAATCAAAAATTCGTCTCTCCATGATTCAAGACTTCGAAAAGAACTGGCATTAGTGATATCATAAGTAAGTACACAACAGTCCGCTCCTCTGTAAAAAGCAACACCCAACGATTGAAAACGTTCTTGTCCAGCTGTGTCCCAAATCTGTAAAAAAGCAACAACTTCCAACTCAGATCTATTTAGTAATTTCCAAACGTACAAATCAGCAATTTAGCTTATATCTTACATAATAATACTAGTTATCTTATGACATAAGGAAGTATTAGTAAGTGACACAAATAATCATAAAATGGAAAGGTAGCATCTGAATAACCGCCGTCCTACATGCGTGAGAGACTCTCCAAAACGATTCTGCTCTTTAAACAAATATGAAAATATCCATCTAAATAAAGCTTCCTTAGTTTAGCATTCCTGATTATTAAACCAATTAACTACACAGAAGGAGTAGAAGCATAAAGATACCAATGTACAAACACCAAATAACCAGTTTTAAAAATTCCAATTACGAAAGAGTTCGGAAAAGCGAACAGTTTTAAATTAATGATATGCATGCTTTTAAAAAGACCCAAATAACTTTCAGTTACTTTGTCACACAGCCTTGAAGAGGAATATTTCAAACAAACTCTTGTTCACTTAAAGTCATGTCCAAGAAATTTAGATTCCAAATTAATCTTCAAAGAATAAATAAATATTGATCAACCTGCATAGTAACAGTCCGATCACCAACTGATATATCCTTTGTCAGGAAATCAGCACCAATCGTTGCTTTATACTGATTACTGAATTTCTTGTTTACATACTGATTCATTAGTGATGTTTTGCCAACACCCGAGTCGCCTAGTATAATTACTTTGAGAAGAGCTTTTTTGCGACCACCACCCGGTGCCGACATTGTGGTAAATTTACGTAAACAAACTGAAATACTTATAAAGCATTAATAAATTTAAAAATCAACAATCTTTTACACAAGACGTACTGGAAATGAAATTTGTGAAATATTTAGCGATTCTTGCCATAAAAGTTCGTAGTGAACACCAAAATTAGCAAGTTCCAAAAATCTTTATCTTTTCCGTTACTCAATGTTCACCGTTGACAGTTTGAAATTACAAAGAATGAAAAAAATAAAATTCTAATACAAGATTTTAAAGAAAATGTAAGACAACAATCTCCTCATGTGAAAAAAAAAAAAAAAAAAACGCTAATGCTGTCATTAACCTAAATCATCTGAAAAAAAGACCGAACAATAATGATTGCATGTGAACTTGTAAACAAGCTTCCACTGAATCAATACGAACTCAACTATAAGTGAAAGACAATTAATACTGGTTGATACAAGTTACTAGTATTATCATTTCATATCTCTTTAAAACATATTTTCTCTGCCGCAAAAGGAAGATTATACAACATAGCATAAACTAGTTTCCACGTATAAATGCTTCTTAATTTCCAAAACTATGTTCTTAAGCAAAACACGTTTAATGCGTTTGTTGAGCAACTTCTACTGGGCTCATGAACACCCTCAACGATTAAAGGTTTGAAATAAACCAAGAATAAATAGCGCACAATCGATAAGCAAACCATGAACAGAAATACGTCGCTTGTTAAAATTACCTCGACTGATTTACGTTAAATGTACGTGCAGTGAAGAGCACCCTAATCCTATTTACAAAGAACAAAATAACAGGGAACAAAATAATAGGAAACCATTTCATCCTCATGACTTGGGGAAAAATCGCATTCGCAAATTCACATGACTAACAGGTATGCATCCATTATAACACCAGCACATACATGAGAAAATACCACAGAATTTTCAATAAGAAAACATTCTAAACCTTTCTGACAAAATTATCGGAGTTTTTTGCAAAACACCATCGTATAAATAAACGATAAAGAAAACCTGCGGAACGGTTGCTTTGGATGGCAGGAGGTATTTACACTTGGCCAACAAAAAGTAACTAATATTCTATAACATTTGAGTAGACAAATTTTATTGAAAAGGAACTTTAGTTTTCACTCGAAAAACTGATTAACAAAGTAACAAAAAAACCAAGTGTGCCACTTTCAATACTAATTTTACAAGTTTTATTGGTTAAATTTCTTCTTCCCGGTAAAAGCATTAGCAATGAAATAATCGAAATAACCAGCAAAAAACAGATAGCACTGGCTCAGCCCAGCAGTTACATGTGCCACCATACGTATCGAAGAATTTTCACTCAGAAAAATACATGCCAATATTAGTCTTTGTCAGTATAGCCAAGGAAGAGGTGGTGGCTGGACAGTATTGGTTGGTTTCATAAGTAAGAAAGAACGTACACGAGTTTTGTGTCATGCTAATCCATATGGAGAATATCGATACATTAAAAACTTGTTTTTGCACAATGAATTTTGAATCAACACTCTACAGATAACAAAGATAACCGTTCCGATAGTAAAGAATGATACTTGGTTTTTGATTTCTGAGTCGCACTAAAATTTCACATAGTAGGTAGGTAAAAGAGAAAGATCAGAAACTGCGAACAAAAAAAAAAAAAAGACGTGGAAACAATGCGAACCTTTTTTTACAAATACACTGGGGAAAAGATAGAACAGAACGAAACAAGATCTTTCCGCTTACTTTAATGAGAACATGATAGTGATGCGCATAAGAAACATCGTTTCTAATCTGTTTTGAGTCCTAAATTCATTGAGGAAATTTAATTTCAGATGAATAGTCAGTCTACATAAATAGTCACTCTGACTGGCAAATATCGAGGGGAAAAATTAGAGTGGGCGGATTCAAAGCACTGCACATGAGTGTGAACTAAAACAACCAACAATGCAAAGTAGCTCGCATGATCTTTGACTTCTACAAAAGTGAGCAAACTGTACAGCGACACAAATAATTATATGATGCTAAAGTGATGAAAAAAAGAGGACAACAAACTCGTACTTTTCAAGTTCAAAATTATAACAGTTCAACATAACCTTTGATTCTCAACCATTCAGAAAAGATGGCAGAAAAAAAAAGACTCGGAATAAAGTACGAAATCGTCATAAGCAAGAATATAAATGCATATACGAGAGATGTCATGTACTAGTTGTTCCTTAGTTCATTCATTTGAAATGTATGACTAGCATGCAAATACTTAAATAATGAAGATGTAAAGTACTGTTAGATGTACAGAAACACCAGAATTCCATTAACAACAAAGTCTACAATACATATACCAAACAGAACCTACCAAATCTCCTACCACCATCATCTCTCGATCTCGACACTTTCACGAGACCACAACAGATTGCTGTCATCGCCTACCGTATCCTATCATTCGGCACGAGATATTCATCACCTAATGTAGCACAAAACTGCTCTCCAAGCACTGAAGCGGTGCGAACGCAACGCTGCTCCTGTGCAAAACTTAAATTTCATAAAATTCAACTATTATATGAGTCAGCTCTAGATGACCCAAAAAGTTTCGCCAGCATGAGTGGCACGGAATAAAGGAATTCTTCAAGGTTCATCAGAATTGTGTAACTCAAAGCTTCTCATGTGACATGTATATCCAGTAAGTTATTTTATCACACTACAGGGAGTTTGGTTTGATTATTTTAATGATTAAACAAAATATAATTTTTTTTTTTACTAATTTTTTTTTCTTTATCGTTGTTAATGCAAAAGTATTCTTCCATTACATTGGAATATACGAAACTAGTTATTATAATACAAAATAAGGCCTAACAATCCTTAAAATAGTAATTTAATTTACTAAGCAGTGCGCCTAAATTGTTGCATGAAAAAACTTACTGCTGGAATATATAGTTTATATGTAGGATGAAATTATCCATGAAATGAATAATCAATTGAAATGAAGAAAACGTAGAGTAATGTCTATTCTTATCGTAGTGAACTAACCAGTAGGAATGCATATTAAAATTGCAAGGCAACAAGTACAAAGAATTTAAATTTCAATGAAAACGTGAAAAGTTAAAAGTGAAAGGAGCGAAGAAAACCAGTAAAGCAAATGAATTATATATTTTACAAATTATTTTGCAATAATAAATAAAAAGAAAACTGTAACACAGTGACTGAGGATCACAGTGACCGTAGAGGTAAGTGAAAGTAAAAAGTTTTTGGATAATTAGAAACTAACATCTATACTACAGATATGAAATACAAGCGTTAAGTAGCTAATATTCTAAAAAGTTAGATTTTTACAGAAACATGAGAAGACCATCATCCTTAACAATTGCAAAGAAAGTTTTCAAACAAACAAGTGATAGATAGTTAGGACTTATACATTCCTTTTTCTGTCTGATCTGAAGCACTCAGATAAAATCTATGTTGTGTAGCAAGTTTTGATTGTAGGCTCTCTTATAACTCCCCCGAAAGAATTTAAATTGATAAACAAAAACATAATAATACGTTAACACGTTAACTGCATACAATGTTCAGTCTAAAACTTGAAATTAGGTCGAAGTCACTTTAAAACTATACTTATTCACAAAACTGTTTGCTTAATAACCAAAGTATAGCCAAATAATTATAATGAGCGGGCACATTTTCTATAAATATGTCTATATTCCCTTATTTTAATTAAACCGTAGTTGTAAGAAGGTGTTAAATTCTGTTTGTCAAATAAATGCATCCCTAAAACAGTTGTGTTCAAATTTTTTTAGAAAAATAACAAGGAATGATAATAACAGAAATCCATATCAAATAATGACTGATTCTAAATTTTAATATGACGACAAAACATAAGGGAACGGAACTTATTCATTGCTGCTTCTTGCACTGGTCCGGTACAGGATCTAACGCATCACAAAGATTCTTTTTCAGATCGTAAAATGCATCACTGGAGCGTATTCCATTAATCATAATCCAAGGGACGAAATTCAGCGGTGGTTGCAAACGTTCTGTTTCTACACCTGCTTCTGCCAAAAGTCTTCTTCCTTCTTCTCCTTCAGCACATCGCAGAATACTGAAATACTCAGATGACATTAATGTATCAATTTTTATGATTAAGAATCGATGAATAGGAAAGGATTTTCCATAACAACAGAATGCTTAGCTAATGAATATCTTGTATCTTCTCTGTAACAGCAGAAATTTTTATTTCCATCAAAAGTATACAAAAGTGTACTTAGTATACTTGCATAAAATCATCGCATTTGATCATTACAAGCACATAAAAACTTGATAACGGGGTGTTGAACAAGTATCAAATGAACATACCATTAACAGAAAAACATTCTGTCAATCAGTCTTCTAATAGTTGTAAAGACTTAACTTTTCACCTCGCATAAGCAGAAATTACCTTTTACTGGATACGGAAAGCTTGGACAAGCATTTTAATCCGGCTGAGCGAAGATCACGTTTTCCTTGGATACACGATATTACTGGGACATACTGACGTGGATTTTTAACTATTTCAATTACACAGTTCATAAGCTGATTCAATTCGCATTCTGGTGGTCCATGCTGACATTTACAACTAAAAAAATAGGAAGACCGACAAACAGTGTTAATTACCTAAGAAAGTTATCATTTAGTGCAAACCAACTTATTTATCCATTATTCATTTTCCTATATATCCCACATAGCAAATATTTCTTTTAATGACACCACACCTCAATGCAAATAAAAAAAGTTATCAAGAATAAGAAATTGTAGAAAAAAAAAAAATTTAATTATGATCAGAAATAAATATAATCCAAATTCATGCAGTCAATATATAATGCACATATGTTAAAGTCATTATTATCATTCCTTAAGATATATTTTGAAATTACCTATAGTCATTACCCACTGGATCACACTTTGCTTTGCCGAAAGGTACAATTTTAAGTGTAATCCTATTTGTCACAGATAGTTCTTGCCATACTGGTAGAAGCTGTTGGTGAACAAAGCGCGAGGTATCTGGACATTGCGCTTCAATATATGCCGCTAATTTTACTATATTGCCAATGGTGGCCTCTGATGTTTGCAGTTTTATTAGCTGAAAGCAAAAAAAGAAAAAAGAAAAAAAAAGTTTCAAGAGTTTGAAATTAACTGAAAATGATTAATGATTAGAATCATTCATCTGACAAATTTAAACTTCAATTCAGTACTGGATATTTTGCTTACTATAGTAAAAAAAATTTCCTAGCATTGTTATTTTGACAAAAATGAAGGTGATGTCATTGATGCCATTATGTATTTAAAAATTTAAATATCTTCAACGACTTGCGACTATGTAGGAAAAAAGAAAAAGAAAAAGAAGAAAAAAAAAATCATTTTATGGTTAATAAACACTGATCCCAGAGGATAAGAAATCAGCATGGCAGATTTAAGATGTCGTATCATCCACTTGCACTTCTTGAAAAAAGGATGAAAAGTCATGCCAGAAAAAAGGATGAAAAGTCATGCCAGAAAAAAAAAAAAAAAAAAAAAAGAAAAACTTGTTCAAAAACCTTCGATTTCAGCTGAATTGGTTTCGCTTTGATCCAAATATTCTGATAATTTTAATTTTTGGGTTAAAACTTTTTTTCTTTCTCTTTTCTGATCTTACTTCTGAGCTTTCGGAGGAATTTATATAATTCCTTTTTTCATAAATATCTTCCTCTTTATGTCTTAAAGATTTAAAATTCCTTTAAAACTTTGGTCAAGTTTCAATGTAATTACCGGAATTGACAAGTTGGAAGAATTGTGTGAAGCGTTAAATTAGTACAGTTAATACAGTCAAACATAAAGAGCAAATAATTCTTTCCAACATAAGCAGAAGATATAAATTTAGTTGGTTTCAAGCAAAAAAAACGTGAAGAAAAAGATGTTAATTAATATAAGAGGAAAATTGATTTTTATGAGGGTATATTAAGATGTGAGTTGAAAAAGCATAATTTCTTTTGAAAATCTGTTATTTGATATTTGCAAACAAAACTTTTTCAACTTTTTAAAAAATTTTCCACATAGAACTTGAATGGAAATTGAAATTTTGATAAAATTAATTCTAGAAAATATTCTACATCCATAGATTTGTTATAATTGTCGGGAAAATCTTCTGCATTTCATATACTGAAATCAGAAATGTTAATTAAAAAATTGTAACCGTTGAGTTACTGCTATTAAAACTATAAAGCAAATTAAAAAATGCTTTGACAGATTCAATTATTAGAAAAACGATAATAGTACCTGAAAACATTAGTTGAAAAATAAGTTATTTCAAAAAAAAAAAAAAAGATAAGGAAAGTATATGGTGATAATGACTGCATAATGCTATTTTCGCACTATAAGGTAACAGTTAAAAGGCAGAGAGATTTCTATCTCACAAGTAAACAAAACAATTTCCATTTCTGATTTCATCCAATATTAACTAGCTATTTTTCTAAATATAAACGGGATCTCGATAGCACTCTAATTATATCACAAATATGGTTGAGAATCTTAAAAAATGTTAATTAAACCAAAAACAGCAAAATAAACAACAGCTACGAGAAATGTCTAATTATCTCCTTTAGAGAAATCTTGTTTACCACACATCTCCCTTTCTTTCATGTTCATATTCAAAAGTCGAATCATACTGAATGACTGCAGAGAACCAGTTACAATCATTTCCTCATCAAAAGAAATATAAAAATAACTAATAATTTATATAATTTGTGCTTGTAAGAAATGAGAATCCAGTCAATAAGTATAGCACTTTTCTTACAAAAGAAAATATAGTTAAGCATTAATCTCTCTATTTTCTTTTAAATGGTTTAAGTAGCACGAAAAATGAAGAGATATCAAACCGGAAGAAAAAAATTTAGTAGACTTTTCTTTGTTTACAATATTCCTTTTTCTCCCAAGTAAAAATAAAAGAAAAAAAAAAAAAAAGATAAAGTTTTTTGATCGATAAGTCTCATAAAAGTTTCAGGAGAATGAAATTATTTTGAAATTAGTTGCAGTCGACGCAAGATATCTTTTGCGTGACATAGAAGCAACAGAGAGTGCTAATCCAAATTTAAAAAAAAAGGCTATCAAATAATTAATTTGGCAAATAACTCATAAATTCAAGTATAATTAACAACAACATATATCGAAAACCTCCACTAACAAGCACCCAAAAAATCATTTGAAACAAATTATTAACAAGCAAGACTATATAATACCAAACAATAATGCTAAGTACCAGCTAAATTATGTTTGCTTGATTATATCACTCGGTTTTAAATTACGAAATATCAATTATTTGATTTTGGATCTATGTCGATATCACAGTGAATGTTCTAAAATAGAATCATAAAACTAATTATTAAACATTTTCTCTGACCTATCCAATGAGTATGCCTTTGATGTTTAATTATTACTATGAAAGAGAATTTATCATTATCAAAACTTATTGGAGATTTAAGTAAAAACGTTTGGCCCAAATTCCTTTTAACATAGTTGAATTTATAATGTTCTATCAGTTAAATAAATATTTAGTAAATACATATCATCAGCAGAAAAACTGCAATTTACCAGCATTTCTGATTTAGATATTCTTTTCAACCATTTCATTTACAGAAATGAGATCTCAGCGCTTCAATCACCACTAAAAATATCTCCAGAATTCTATATTTCTGCACGAATGGAAGCTAGAATTTTATTGTTTACCAATTAATAAAATCTCAAAACGATGAAGATATTACATAACCTTTAATTTTGCAGAAAAGAGAGAAATTGATGTCCTTTGCAGCAGTTTCAACAGTTATATAAAAAATAATATAATCTGAATATTAAGCTCTATTTTGATGCGATACGTTGTAAGCTGTATTAACTGAAAGGCATGTAGCAGAAAAGCAGATTAAATTCTATAAGATTCTCAATAACAACCCGAATTTCATTCATTAACTTACTGGTCTTTCCTTAACAGTACTCTTTTCCAACAGCAGAGTGAATAACCATTGATAAACGATAAAAATCAAAATAACACCTGGGAGAATGCAAAAATAATGGCATTTAAAACAGAATAAATACCGCACCATACTCTTTATAACGCCATTCTGGAGTTCTGAAACATAACAAGTCTTTGTTAAACAAACGATACACAAACGAGTTCTACCCCACAAATACATCAAAATTTTATGATGTATTTGAACACAACAAGAAATGAAATGCATTAGTGATTTAATCAGTAGAAAATATCAGTGCGTGACTAAGAATGAATGGTAAATGAAATGAAGAGAGTTGCATGTAAATACTAAAAGCTTATTTTACAGAAGCAGTTATGTCCTGTTTGTTTGAAAAAAAAATTTCGAAAATTATATTCAATTAATTTCACTTCTTTCTTTATCAAACTACTGCTATGATGGGAAGAATGTAGCAACAATACTATAAGCTTTAAAAAGATTGCTATTTAACAACGAAAATATGAAGCATAAAAAAAACAATTAAACGAGAAACCAGGAGGTTTCTCGAAATGGAAATTACAGGTTAGCTAACAAATAATTTATAGGAGTTACACATAGAGAATCAATGAAATAACAAATACTTGAATTAATGAAAACATGCGCAACTGCTTCAAATCAAGAAATGAAATTTAAAGGAGGAACTAAAAGATACGTACCCATTTTTGAGCAGATTCTTTCAATACAAGCAGACAAATAAATTGTTAGTGTCGAATTCGTTCCTCTTCTTCAATATACATTGCGCTTGTTGCTAAAGTGAAAAATTAAAAGAACTATCTGATAAATTTGAAAAATAACGCGACTTCCAATTCAAACAGAAATAATTCTAAAGAACCTAGTCGCTAACATTAACACTTCCAAATAAGTTTTGTTGTCAGATAATTATTGCATCCGCATTGTCTATTAAATTATTATATTCATTTGACTGACGAACACTGAGATTATGTACTTGAAAAATAAAATTCACCTATATGCTATCTGCATAAGATTTGTGCTACTGACTTTAGAGGTAGCAATTTTAATAATCATCGAAACTAACCCAAAATGAATAGAATGGCAAATTAACGAAGTGAGATTATTTTGAAACTGATTACTTCTAAGATTATCAAACAAATGACAAAAAAAATAAGAACAAATGGAACAACTGAGAAGATAAGTGGAAAAGTATGGTGACACAGCAGTACGATTAATGAGTAACCGGTTAGCGAGACTTTCTGTTCAAGTCTGTAAGTTGCACACAATCTGTCGAAACTTGTTAGACTAGTTTCCACATTATGATGTTGACAGCCGAAAAGATACTTTTGTTTATCAAATATCATCGATACAATGTTTATTTGAAGAGATGTAGCTACTCACTACAACATCTATTCACGTAAGTCATAATGCATAACGTAAGCAATATCTATTTTTCATCTAACTATCTATTTCTAATCATTTCGCGTCAATTTCTCATAAACATACATGCAGTTATATATGAGCCACGTAACATTACGCACGTGAATAAGGTAAAAGTAAAAAAGATAATTATCAGTAACAAAGAAACTAAGAAGAAATCTGTAAAAATTAATGCTCATCCATTTCTATCATTGCGTGTAGTTGAATAAAAGTATTTGAAAATGAAGAAAAGAGCAATATAAGGTTTGCCTTAAGGAAAGAAATATATTATTTATGTTCTTAAGTTTATTTGACAAATAAATTTAATCTAAATTTCAAAAAAAAAAATGAAATAAAAGTTAAATGGGATTAGAATTTTTATTGAATACATGGAAACACAAGAATTGATACTATGAAGCTTTACTTTTCCTTTATGCCACCGACTATTTCCACATCATCTCCAAACAGAAAAGACATTCGTATTCAAGAAGAGAATAAAAGAAAACTGAAATAATACTAAAAAGTAACGATGGCGAGATTAGCTATGAGAAAAAGGAAAGAACAAGAAATCAGTCTATCAAGCAAATGAGTTTTAATTAATCGAATTCAATAAAAATTTCGGATAAATCAAAAAACTTTTCATAGAAATTCTCGTTAGTATGGAAATATAACTAATTAAACACACTAAGGGTAAGCAGAAATAGTGTATAAGAGGAAGAGAAATTAGTCCTTGCTCCCTCTTACTACTTTTCTTCAGCCTCTCATAAAAAATGTACTATATAAAAAGTTTTTGATCATAACTTTTTGCAAATCAATTCCTAACCAATTTTCGTTATGAGACTTTATCAATTATAGAAGCATTCTGTCAAAAGTAGATTTATGCGTGCAAGCATTATCAATTTATATTTCAATTGGTAGTTTCTGCACTGCGTTATGTAGTTCTGGTTTTTTCATCGATTACGTAAAATAAGTCGGACTAATTCGTACAATCTATTTTAATCACTTTTCAGAAATGTTTTAGAAGTCTAAATTAAGTTTAGGTTTCAGACGAAAGGTGGTTTTGATGGCAGAACTCGAGAATAATGCGTTATGTGGTTCGCCAGATTTCTCTAGTCGTGGTAAGTGTTTCCTTCCTCCCACATTTAACACGCTAATTTCTCCTTTGTTTTACTCTGTTTCGTATGCTTAGGATCGGTCCGATTCAGCTTGATATTTGACAGTTCAAGTTCTTCCTTTAAATTATATTTTGGGGGATTAATTGACAAAAATGGAGACAAAAGTATCGAGTGACATGCGATGTTTTAGTACTGGAATTTGATATGTTTAGTCAGTCGTTCCAAAATGTCATTTTTCAAAACCCATATAACAAAGCAACTTTAATTGTATTTTTTTGACAGAACTATTGCGGGTGTAAATTAGTGAGCTTGATCCAATATCCGAACTTTTCCAGAAATAGATCCGAAACTAAATGCTTCAAAACTAAAGATGAGTCTGGAATACACCTATATTATCTCTAGAAACGCGCGACATTGTGCTAGTGAATATAGGCCACATTTTGTATTGTAATATATTATTTAGGAAGTGATCTGTTTTATATTCAGTAGTGCTTACTTATGCTTGCTAAAGACTGATACATATTTTATAATGCATGGCAGCATGTTCTTTTCGTAAGATTATTTTTCCTACTGTCTTTTGCTTTATTTTTTACGAAGATATCATCACTGGAATAGTAGTCATGAAAAGATTAGTATGAATCATAATAATTCGATTTTTTCTTAATAAAGGGTATACGGTTTCTCTGTCTCATAATAGTAACTTGATTATAAAGCAGTAACAGTGATATAGAATGGTTAATCTTATGTTTAGCAGTATTAACTTTTTTACTACATCTTACCCTTATTTGAAACATTTGCGGATTTTGAACAATGTTTTGGACTTTTCAAATTCGTAAATTTTGAATATTGATTTAAAAAAAAGAATTCTGCTCTTTTCTTTCAGCTTTGCTCTTCGGTGGGATTATTGCCCCCGTTGTGTTGAAATACAAATCGATAACCACTACCATTCCTGCATCTATGAAGCTACCTTTGACCGTTCCATTTGTTATCTACCCTTTTCCTATCAGAATTTGATCTGGGACAAGACCATTTCTCGTACTGCATTGATTTTGCATTTGTGTTTACCAGCCAGTCTTTCTCCAAGCTGATAAAAAGCTACCGACAGCTCGAGCTATTTTACTCACTAGAAAACGCTGCTTTCTATGACTTTAATTACCTTATTCCCATTAAGATTCCTATTTTTCCAGTTAACTTTGGCTATGATGTTGGGAAGCAACTGCCTACTGAAAACCGTCAGTTCAGGTTACCTGGCTAACTACATGAGTCCTTGTCATTATAATATGTCTTCATCTCACCGCTTCATGCCATGTCTTCTCATGCAAGCCATGTCTTCCTCGAACCTTAAACTCTGAATCGGCACCACATGCCCAAAAGAAGATTAAAAATGCAGTCTTTGCCCACCTGTAGATGACGATTCTTCAAATCCGTCCAGCAGTGATCGAACAGCACCAGGTATCAAATCACGACTGTCAGAGAATGTGGGCGAACATGATAACGACGACAATTACGACACTAGCAGACAGAGTAATTCTTCTGAGTCTAGCAAAAAAAGTCATGATGGCGACAACAAAATCGAATATTGTCAAGCACAGACTGTCAGTAATGATGGTGTGGTCGTTGTTGTGGGCGATCATTCTGACCAGTTGGATGAAGGCGATGTGGATTTGGATTTAGTGGTGCGAGATGAATGCAACGAAACGCATGGTTATTTTTGTGTTACATTTATCTAGCTTTAAATGTATTTCATTTGCGGATAAAAAACTAGATTCAGCATTATAGACCTTCAGCTCTTTTATTTCTTCATCAGTAGGAAAAGGAGGATTAAAGTATGCAGAGCTTGCCGAGATTTGTCTAAAAAATTCATATAAAAATACACTTCATATATTTTGCAAAAAAATAACTTTCTAAGCATTAAGTTTATTTAAAAAATATTTTATTTTTTTTTTTTAAATATAAGAAAATATTAGCCGGCTCTGGCTCGGCTCTGACTTTACCTTTTCTTAAATGTGTTAAAAACGGCTATAGATATTTCTGGAAATCAAAACTGTAAGTCTTTCAGAATTGAGCTTAAATAATTTCTCAAAAAAATGAAGTTGAATTCTCTGCTTTTCCAGGTACCTAAAAATCATGCTTGTTTTCAGGCCACTTTCTGAAACGGTTCCATCCTCTTTACTTAAACTTTATACTATGCTGTACTATTCTGAAATTTAATAGAAAATATCGTTCTTGAGAAATATCGTTACTTGTGTATTGGAGAAGTGTTTGCGTATGGCATATCGGTTTCGGTCAGTTTTTTCTTTGAATTTTCAGAAGAGACATCAGAGCCATCCCGCTGTAATTCGGTACCTTTGGTGAAAAAAGAAGATATGTCAACATATAAAAGAGCACATTCGATAGAATCATATAAATATAAGCGACCTGATGCAGTCATTTGTGCAGGTAATTTGTTGTATATTATCTTGAGCAAGTAGGTACTTTTCAAATTGATGCCAGTGATCTTGTTGCAATTGTTCTTATTCTTTTTTATAATCTGACTTTATGCCCTAATATTTTATGATATGACTTACCGGTAGAAGCACGTATCCATTTAGAATCAGTCGAAATAGAGTGTTTGATGCATCGTGCACAATTTTTTCTGGCACGAGCGTGCGAAGAAAATATCAAGTTGGCGATGGAAACTTCATTGTGGACAACCCATCCATTCGTCGAAAAGCTTTTGGCAGAAGCATATCGGCGAGCTCCGGTTGTGATACTTGTTTTTCTTGCACGAAATGCGGATCATTTTGCCGGTAATACTTTGTATTCCTGATATAGTTTATGATTGATGAAATTTTTTGAGAAACAAAGGATATTGAATCCTTGCTTGATACTTTTTAAATAGGTTTTGCTCGGATGTGTTCGGAAGCGCTATACAGAAGTCAGCCAGCAATGAGATGGGTTGATTTCAAAGGCGGTGGTAACATTAAACTGCAATGGATTACAAAGTGTCCGCTTGCACTTAGCGCAAGTGACCATATTAAGAATCCATTCAATAAAGGTACCATTTATTTCTTTAACATTATTTCCATTAAAAAACCAATTTTTGAAATGTTTTGCTTTACTGCAGTAGTCGTTCTGTCTATTCCGGATGTGAATTTTTTCGGATTGTAATAGCTTGAACATTTTGTTCCCGAA